GAACTTTACGAGGTGATCGTGGTTGCATGGTGCCACGTCGCCATGCAAGGAGGGCTATCACTGGCGAGCCAGCGATGCCCTTCCTGCCATAAACTCCAGGGCACCCCCATGTCCCCCCATACTGCCCAGTGACCTCCAGAAGCATCATCCTCAAATCTGCACCTGCAGGCGGCCGTCGAGCCACAGCGTGGCCGTCGCATGGGACAGCGGGCCCCCCGGCGCCAGCGAGAGGCACAGGTGGTGCCAGGCCCCACTGTTCAACCCACGACCCATGTCGAAGGCCAGCGCGGCATGCGCGGGGGACCAGGTGTGCACCCACACCGCGCCCGCTGCAGAGTCCAGGGCCACTGCCAGGGCCCGGCCCCGCGCCTCCTCAATCCAGACCAGGGTGTCCTGGCGGCCTGGAGTGGTGGTTGGCCGGCCATCGCCGCCGCCCTGCAGAGCGCCGCCACGCGGCGTCGTCCGGCCCCTCGGCGGCACCTCGCTCTCCCTCATCAAGGCCGCATCCCCCCGGCCCTCCACCTCCCGGCGCAGCCAGACCGACAGCGCCAGCCCGCCACGCAGGAGCGGCCCGGTGCGTGCCGCCGCGCAGGCCAGGCCGGCGCGCGCCGCCGGGCTCTCGACCCCGGACCCGGCCCCCGCCCCGGGGTTGAAGTGGAGGAAGGCCGGGGGGGTGGGGTCGGCCGCGACCTCGCCCAGCAGAGACAGCAGGCCGTCATGGTGGGCGCCCAGCTCCCCGCCTCCCCCGGGGCGCAGCAGGCCCAGCGCGGCACGCAGGTCGGCGACGGGGAGGGAGTGGCCGGCGGAGGCGCGCAGCGCGCGCAGCAGGCCCGTGAGCAGGTGGGGGTGCGCCCGTGGCAGCCACTGCAGCAGGGCCGGCGTGGTGCCCGCGACTGTGGCGGACACGCGGTTGCCCACGCTTGCCTCCAGCACGGCGCAGAGGAGCGGCAGGCCATGGTGCGCCGCGACGTCGCATCGAGCTGTGCGCAGCAGAGCCAGGTAGGCGCCGAGTGCCCCTGGATTAGCGACCTGGAGGCACGATGTTGGCGGGAGGGCGGGCGGCGGGCGGGCCGGTGCTACCTCTGTGCCGGCCTCCAGGGCGCCGGCGGCCTCTGGGTCGAAGCAGGTCTGCCGTGCATTGGTACAAGGGAGGAGGGTTGGGGGGGTCAGCTGTGTGCCTGGGCCAATCCAGGAACAACCTGTGAGGTGGAGCAGCCCTTTGGACCAGAAGGTGATTCTGCAGCTTTGCTGTTATCAAAGCCTGAGCTCCCCCGCCACGACTACCGAATGGATTCTGCACGGAAATGCAATGGTACCACTTTCAAGCCCGCCCACACCTCCGTCGCCAGGTGCAAGACGGCAGAGAGGAGGGCCCAGGAGGGGGGCAGACCGCCGCGTGCCCGCTCTAGGGCGGCAAGGAGTATCGTCCAGCCGACCTCCTCCCTGCTCGATGTCAATAGGCATTGTGCATGGTACATTTGTGAGGGAGACACCAGCAGCCCTCAGGGTGGAACAATCCTCGGTGCCGCACAGAACTGCCTTTGCGTCGGGGAGTGTGCGGGCAGCGCATGCGTGCAGAAAAGAGTCCGCCTCCTGATACATGCTCTCCACCATCCCCACGCCCTCGGCATTCATCCGCGGATCACATACCCAGCTCACCCAAACGAGTGGCGGGCTGGAGCGCTGTCCTTGAGGAGGGCGCTGAGCGTGGCCAGCACGGCAAGTGCGACGGGCTCTAGTTGCATGAGGGGCATGGGCTGACTCAGCGCGTGCACCAGCTGGACACAGCCCTGGGCCTGGCTGCGGGAGGCAGGGTTCAAAGAGACGACTTAAAGGCGGCCACGGTGCAGTCAGGAATGGAACGAGCGTCCCTGGAGGCTGCAGGGACCATACTCTCAGCCACTTAACGCCCTCTTGCTGGCTGGCATCTTCCCATACGTCCAAGACCCCCACCCCCTCACATGAACAGGGGCTGCAGTTCGCCTGCTTGCGTGGACAGCGCCCTCCGCATGCAGGACATGAGGTCGGTGATGGGCTTGGTGCCGTGCTTTCTCCAGCCCTGCACCTTGTGTGTCAGCACCTCTGTCATGGCGGGGTTTGAGAGGAAGGAGGGGGTGATGGAGGGAGAGTTGTGCTACGGGATGCAGGCAGACAGTGGAAGTTTTGATCAGTTTGAACACCTTAACTACACTTCCTTTGCGCCCCTCCTGATACATCTCCAGTACAAGGTCGTCAGCAAGCAAGACCCCTGACCTCCACCCACATCACTGCAAGGCCACCCACCCATCAGCTTCGCGGCGAGCGCCGCCTTGGCCAGGCCGTCGTCTTCGTCTGCAGCAGGCACGGCCAGCAGTCCGGTCAACTGGGGGGGGAAAGGAGGGATCGCGGTTGCGAGGTGGAACCAGTGCAGGGTATCCAGGAGCATTTTGGCTTCTGGCAGGCCAGGCCTTCGTGCCACGCCGTGCCTGCCGGGCGTCAGTGAAGAAGTGAGACCCAGCCAAACACGGCCCAAAACCTCAGCGTGAAGCTCCAAGACGCCACCCTGCATGCAACTCGAGAACAGGACCCACCCCTCCGCGCACCAGATCCAGCGAGGCAGACCGTACCGCCCTCGTACCGCGGGCGTGGGCCTCGAAGAGGGCCGGCACCAGCGCCCAGCGGCGCAGCGCTGCGCGCTGCGCCGCCTGCGCCGCGGCAAACAGCGCTTGCAGCGCATGCAGGGCGGCCTCTTGCTGCGCGGCGCCCGGCGAGCCTGCCAGCGAGACCTTCCACGTCGCATCGCCGCCCTCGCCGCCGCCCAGCCGCAGCTCCACCTCCAACTTCGCAGGCCCCTCCTCGGGCACCCTGAGGGCGAGCAGCGAACACAGCGCTGCCTCCAGCCCCACGCGCGCCGCGGCGGCCGCGGCGGTGCACGGAGCGCGGCGCAGCAGGGCCGCCAGCGCGGCGCAGGCGGCCAGACGCGGGGCTGGGTCGTCGCTGGGAGCCTGCAGCATGCGCGCCAGGGCACCGACCTCCGCCTGGGCGTCGGGCAGAGCGGGCACGCCGGCCGCGCTTTCCAGCAGCCCCACCGCGGTGACCAGCACGACGGGGTCGCCGGCGGCAGGTGATGCATCACCATCTGAAGCCCGAACTATGGCATCTTCGGCGCCCCGTGCACCAACATCACCCGCCGCGAGGAAGGCGACGTCGTAGACGCCGCACGCGCGCAGCAGCTCAACGCGCGTCACGGCGCTCGGCGCGTGCCGGCTGGGGGCAGGGCTGGCCCCGGGCAGCGCCCACGCTGCGCCCACGCTGTGTGCTGCCAGCGCCAGCAGGGCCAGGCAGGGACCGCGGCGCGAGGGCACCGGGTCGGCGCCGTCCAGTGCTGGCCCGCCGGAGGCCGCCGCGACGCCCGCCTCCAGGACGAACTGCAGCCGCGCCAGGTCCAGGGGGGGGGGTGGGCCGGTGGAGTCGGGGATGGACCCCCCGACCGCCCACTCCCACAGGGCTACTGTGGCCTCCGCGAGGGTGGCGGTGAGGGGGACCACGCTGGGTGTGGCGCCTGGCGCCTGGCGCCCGGGCCTGGCCATGCTCCCATCTTCGCTGACGCAGGACGGCTGCGCAGACCCACTGGCTGGGCTCGCCTCCTCGCCGCCCACCCCCGCGGCGGCGAGCAGCAGGTCGCGGAAGCGCTCCCCCAGGCCCAGCTGGCGGGCCGCGTCGAGGTCGGCGCAGGCAAGGGCGCGGACGCAGCGCGTCTGGAGACGCAGGTCGCGGGGGGTGGGCGCCTTCGGGCCGATGCCCGCCGCCACGAGCGCCAGCGTCGCCGGGGCGGCCTGCGCTCCGAGGCCGCCGGCGCGGCGCGCGAAGCAGCGGCGCAGCAGGCGCAGGCTGGCGTGCTGCAGCGCGCGCGCGGGGCCGGGGTCGAGCCGCGCGCGCTCCCTCCCCAGGCTCAGCAGCTCTGCCGCCGGGACGGCGAGGCCCTGCTCTCTTTGCTGCCCGCGGGTGACCGGGCCCTGTCGAGGCTGGGGGGCTGCCTCCATGGCACGCCCCATGTCGTCCCCTGCGCCGGCGCCGGCGCGATCGCCATCCCCAGGCCCCAGGCCAGCCCAGCGGTCCAGCGCGGAGCAGGCTACTTGTAAGGTGTCGATCGCGAGGTGGTGGGCGCTGGCGGCCGGACCCCACAGGCACCCCACCAGGCCGGCCAGGATGTCGGCCAGCAGGACCTCCAGCCCCAGCCGACGCAGGACAGCCGCGTTGTGGCGGCTGCGCAGCAGCACTGCTAGCGCGGCGAGCGTGGACCGCGCTGCCGCCAGGCGGGCGTCATCGGGGGCCTGCGACGCGGGTGAACGAAGCATGGGGCCGGTGGGCGGCGCCGGTGGGCCCGACGCCGCGTCGAGGGCGGCGGGCAGGGCGGCCGCTGACGCCAGGATCAGGGCCAGGACAGCCGTCGGGTGGCCGCCGTCGCACCCCTGTGCGACCGCCAGCGGTTCGGCCCGGGTCGTGGGCGCGGGTGCCCCTGCGGGCCCCGCCGCCAGCGCACGTCGCGCTGTTGACCGCGCGCCTGCGAGGTGCACGCGGGGTGCTGATATTGAGATGTGATCGACGTGCGCGTGACATGCACCCAGCAGGTATCAAGCAACCCAATACTCACCATCCAGCGCGGCGTCATTGGGGACCCAGGAGCTGTAGGAGCCGGCGACCCGTGCACAGAATGCCTGGAGGAGCTCGAGGTGGAGCTGTAGTGGGGGGGGGGTGCGAGTTTGGACGTGAGTCAGGTATGCGTATCGCTTCAGTGACTGCTGCAATCAATCACCCAAAGAGCCCATGCTCCTGCTCACCCTAGGATCGGTGTCGGCACCATCGGTCCGCCGGGTGTGTGCTTGCAGGAGCTCATTCAGCTCTGCCTCGATGCGATTGCTCGATCTGCGGGGAGGATATTGGTAAGTCAACACACACGATCTCAATCCGTGCCTCCTCTGCCAGCATGTACCCCTGCGCCGCACCGGAACTGTATGTCGATGGCGCCTTCCACGGCAACTTCCGGTATTGGTGGACCATGGGTCCCTTCGGGTCCTGACCCGCCAAAGGCATCATGCAAAAGGCGCTGCAGGCCCTGAAACATATTTGGGCAAAGTTACGGGCCTTCCTGAGCCCCCGAGCGCTATTTGCCTGGTGGGGCTAGGCGCCATAAGAAGTGATCACGACGCCCTCCCCAGCCAGCACATGGCGGCAGCAGGCTGAGGGACGTGCACATTCGAGTTCTTACCCGATATACGCTGCATCTCGCGATCTTGAAATCGCAGAACCTGTGCTCCTTTGCTCTGAATCGAGGCGCAGGGCGCGACTGAGCACGTGCATTACTCACATGTCGTCTCGAAACTTGTTCACGGAGACGTTTAACATTTTACCAGTGATGACTGATGAAGCCGGCGGTACACCTCATCAGCAAGATAAAGCATTGATATCTATATATATAAGATCACCTCGAGGGAGTGCACATATTCCTGTCCGCCGTCCCTCCTCAACTCGCGCGTTATGACCTACCACAAACGAAACCTCGTGTTGTGCGCCGAGGACACGGAGGCGGCCAGCAGAGCCTGCAAGTGGCTGCTTGAATCGGTGAGGGAGTGGCATGAATCGATTCTCGTGTTTGGGTTCTGCGACTCGGAATCGGGTGCGTGCGCTTGAGGCAGTGCTCGGCTGGTGCAATCGTGAGTGCTGAAAATGGTCACCCCTTGGCTCCATCGCCCTTGCCACCTCCCCCGCACAGGTCTACAAGGAGAACGACGTCGTGCACTTCATGTGAGTGTGTGGATCGATTTCATGTGTCGTTCCCACGTCTCCAGATGCAATGTTGTGCTGTGTGCCAGCGTGCCTGTCTGGGCCACTGTGGGCAGACCTTATGCACGAAACCCGGGTCAACATCTCGTCCCATCCCCCTTGGCCCCCTGCAGATATGTGGTGAAGTGCATGAAGCCCCCCATGAGCATCTTCCACGGCCTGCCCGGCACCGCCTACCAGTTTGAGCAGCCGGGCACGCATAACGAGCTGAAGCACATCGAGACCGCCAAGACCATCCTCCGCCAGCGCTTCCTGCACCTCCTGCAGCCCCGCAACGTCAAGTACGAGCTGCACCTGTACGCCGAGAACGTGGAGGCCCCTGCTGCCAAGATTGGGACCCTGATCCTGGAGGCCGCCCAGAACCTGGGCCCCACCCTTGTGGTCACCGCCGCGCACAATAAGGTGGGTTTTGAGTGGTCAGATGGTGGACAGCGCCGCCCACGTTGCGTGTCGCAACTCGTTGCGATGGTCTAAGGCCATGCAGCGCTGCTCTGGCTGCGGAAGGCTACGTATAGATTGTCCTCGGCCGCATGATATCCCCTTCCCCACCCCCCTCTCCATGATCCCAAAGCTGGAGGCCAGCGACCGGTACATGGGGGATGTCGGCAGCGTGGCGCTCTACCTCTTGGAGAACTGCAAGCTGCCGCTGGCCATTATTCACCCGGAGGAGGACGGCGCGGACGAGGCAGAGTGAGCGAGTCTCTCTGAATGAGTATGGCACAAGGAACCCAGACCTCCTACCCCGCCCTTCCCAGCACCACCTCTGTACTTGTTTACCTTACTCTTCTTTCTCAGCCCCAGGGCTGCCTTCATGACCTCATCCGGGAGGCACATTGGCTAGCCGCCCTCACCCTGTTGGCCTGCAGTGTACAACGAGCACGGCGCAGGGGACAGCACAGAGTGGTCACGAAATTGTTCAAGGGGTCCCCCGGCCATGGGACTCTGCTTAGGCACAAAATAGGCGTCTCATCGCCGTCACCGGCAGCCGCTGCGCTTTAGTTCCAGCCTCAGGCCCGACATCTCGCGCTCCAGATCATCCAGCCGCGCCTCGATTTCCTCTCGGCGCCGCCGCTCCTGCCACGAGGGAGGAGGAGAGGAGGGCGGGAGGTGGGGGTTGGTGATTCTGCCGTAGGTCGCCGCAGCGCAGGTGGCATCAGGAACTTTGGAAAAACTGGCCTTTACGGACCCCTGGGGGTCACAAAAGCACGCCCAAGCCCCCCCTCCCACCGCTACCCACCCTGATGGTGCGGCCGGCACTGGACACGGGCAGCCGCGCCAGCTCGGCCTGCAGCCCATTCTTCTCCGTCCCTGCCTCCAGCAGGCGCGCCTCCAGGGCGGCGGTGCGCTGCAGCAACTCCCGCAGCGTGAAGTCGGAGCCGAAGGGGCTGCCGGCGTCCGAGGGCGCGGCGGAGCGCGGGGTCGGGGCGTCGCTCTCTTCGCTGCCGCGTGGGTGGGAGGGGTGGCTGGTGTTGCGTGAGTGGGAAAGTGGCTCGGCGCTGGAGGGCAGGAGGAAGCCGACGGCCGGTGCCAGGCCTGGCGCCCCGCACCGCGATGCGGCGCCGGCAGCGCCACCCCGGGTCTCGGACCCGCTTGGGGGGGGACGTGGGGGGACCTCCTCGCCCGCCGCCGTCGCGCATCCCTCGCCCCGCGCCCCCGCGCCGCGCTTCAGCCCGGCGATGGTCAGCTCCATGACCTGGGCGCGCTGCAGCGCCGCCGTCATCCGCCGCGTCGCGTCTCGCGCCACGGCGTCGGCGCGCGCCGCCGCGCCCCGCCACTCCTCCAGCTCTCGGGCCAGCGCCTCGGCGCGCGCGGCCTTGGCACGGGAGGCCGCCCGCGCCTCCTCCAGCGCGCCCGCCAGCTCGGCGTTGCCGGCGCGCAGCTCGCGCACGGCGTCCAGCGCCGAGTCCAGCGCCAGCTCAGCGTCGGCGGCGCGTGCCTCGGCGCCCTCAGCGCGTCGGGTCGCGGCCTCCAGGACGTCCTGCGGGAAGGAAGGGGGCGGCGTGCGGCGGCCGGCTTGGTGATGGACTCTTGCAGACATGACGGCCCCCCTGATGCTTGGACGTCCGAGCACGACATGGTGCAACAACAGGTAGCAGGCCCCTCAGTACCCCCCTTGCCAAGACACAACACGCATTCCCCACCTCCACTTGCCTGCAGGTCTCCAAGATCGTGCTGCAGCTTTTGGTCCTGATCGCAGGCATGCCCCTGCATGCCCTCTTCCAGGAGGCAGAGGTCTCCCGGGCCGCTATCCTGCGCTCCCAACCCACGCACGCTCGCGGCAGGGGAGGTGGGAGCAAGTAGGGTGTCGGAGGTGTAGAATACACCCATGGATGGCCCATGCTGCGCTGGAATGGAGTCCTGGGGATCTGCCGTCTCCCAGGTTTCGACTTTCTTCCACAGGCCTGGGCTCGGGAAATCGGAGCACTCGCTCCGGACGGATGCCATCAGGCTAGATCGCTGGGCGACGGGTGTCCTCCTACCACCGGTATTGCGCCTATAGCATATGGCGCCTTGGCGACGTCCTCTCGTACCCCGGCCCACCGAGAACTGTCTGTCCACCCTGGTTTTGACCTGTCGATGTCGCCGCGCGCGCCGCAGCTGTCACGTGATGGGCTGGAGGCGCCTTTCAAATAGAAACTCATGCTCATGCTGAGATTGAAGCAACTGCATGACGCGCTGTCGGTTCCACTCTTACACTAATTACAGATCAAACGAGTCTCGATATGGGAGCTCTCATCATATTCAAGTCTGGCAAATCTATGCTCCCCTGCTTGCAAATTCTCGAGGTAAGGGGTACGGGTAGGCTAGATGTGTCGATAACGTCCAGCACGCTTGCAGCTGTGCTGAACAGAATGCGTGCGGCCACATGCAAGGCATAATTCCTTGGGACGATCACCTTTTTGGATTGACCCAACCTTCAAACTGACAAGATTCTTAAATAGGCAACGCAGCCGCAAAAAGGGATGGCTTACTGAGCCAGTCCTTGAGTGACCCTGAACGGAAGCTGGTCATGGCTTTTGTCGATCCATCACTTGATCTCTCCCGTAGTCACTCGGTCATCACTCCAACGGAGGGACAGCTGCAAATGAGCAGCACACGTAATTACAGCAGCGCCGTCAGGTGGGTGGATCTCAGAAGCCTGGCAGGAGGCGGTAGGCCTGCGAGGCCTGGGCGGCCTTGGCAGCAATCTGGCGCGACTCCTGGGGACTGAACTGCAGCAGCTTTGCAAGTACGGGAACGAGCGGGGAGGTGGGGGGGAGCTGGCCGGTGTAGAAGCCAGAGAGCACGACGTTCTTCAGGTACTCCAGGCTCACAGACTCCCGGCAGTCCCGCCGCCTGCCGTGTGGGTGTGGAGGGGATGCAGCTGGGATAGGAGACGCTGGGGAATATGGCCAGCATGGCTCACTGGCCAAATTCCTGTAAACGGCATCCCTCCAAGCTGCCACATCCTGCACCGTCTTCACCTCATCTCCTCAATCTCCTCCTTGAGGATCGAGGCCGATGTGTCCCGTAGGGCATGCGTGTGCTCACTGTGCGGGGTCTCGAGGTGTGCAGGGTATTTGTGAGTAGGAGCATAGTGCAGATTCTAATGGGAGCGACATTCCTGGGCACCCTCAGCCACCCACCTCTCGACCAGCGCCAGCTCCAAATCCCGGATCCTTCCTCGCAGCTCAGCTTCGTCGGCTATTTGCTGGTCTGCAGGACTCCCCTCAGCGGCCTGGAGTTGGGGATTGCATTTGAATGGTGCACTTAGTATGCATGGTCCGGATGTAAAACATGATGAGCCTCACGCAAGGCAAGATGGTGGGGAGGGTGAGTCCAGCAATCAGTATAGAGGGCAAGGTCAAACACGGATGCGGTCACGCTGCAGCAGGACCGGTGGCGTGGCAGGGGGAACCTTGAAAAGTCGCCCCCTGGGCGCTGCCTCCACCGCAAGAGTAACACAACCATGCCCACTCACCGGAATCTCAGGGACCTCGGATGCTCCGCTCCCGGGCCCCGCCCTTGCAGGCACCGCTCCCAGACTGCCGCTCTTGTTGCTGTGCCCCCAAGCGCCGGGATTGAGCTCCGCTTCTTGATACGCCCGATCCTGCCCGGATGCAGCGACTGGCAGCTCTGCGCTCTGGGACCGGGCCGAGCTTGCCGCAGCCACCCCAGCCTCCAGCGCCGCGACTTGCTCCTGCAGCGCCGCGGTCTGGGCTCTCAGCGCGTCGGTTGTTGCATGGAGGGAGAGGCAGCGCGCCTCCGCTGAGGAGGCCCGCAGCGAGGTCGCCTCCAGCGCCTCGGCCTGGCGTGCAAGCTCGGCTTCAGCTTGGCCCCCTGCTTCCGTGGCACGATCCTGCGCCGCCCGCACCTGTTTCTCCAGCTCAGCCCGGTCCCTCGCAGCCGCCGCCTCCACCTCGGCGCGGACCCGCTCCTCAGCGCGCGTGACGGCCGCTGTTGCTTCCGCCTCTCGCGCTTCGACGGCGTCCATGGAGGAATCTCGCTCCGCTGCCAGGGCTGCCTCCAGGCGATGTTGCTCTTCCTTTAACCTCTGCACTTCCGACTCCGAGGCCTGGCAGGAGGCTGCCGCAGCAATTTCTGCCTCCCGCCGCAGCGCATCTGCCTCCTCTTGCACAGCTGCCAGCTGCAGGTCCGCTGCCTGCTGCGCAGCCGCGAGGCCGGCCGCGGCCTCGGCGCGCGCTGCGGCCAGAGCCTGCGCCGCGCTTTCATGCGCGGCGGCCAACTCCCCTGCCGCACGCACCCGCTCATGCTCCAGCCCAGCTGCAGTCTCGCTCTTCAATCGTTCCGCCTCGGCCCCTGTCTCCCGCCTCACAGTGTCCACTTCAGCGGCCGCTTCTCGCCAGGCATTTGCCAGCTCAGCCGCCGCTTCGTGCCGGGCATTTGCCAGCTCAGCCGCCGCTTCCTGACGTGCATATTCCAGTTCAGCGGCCGCCGTCGCTCGCAGGGATGCCAGCCCGGCCACAGCTGCGTCGCGGCCCTCGCGCGCGGCCCGCAGCTCTGCCTGCAGCGCCTCGAGGGCCTGCTCCGCGGCGCGGAGGCTGGAAAGCGCGGCGCCATCGGCGCGCAGCTCCTCGGCCCTCGCCTCGGCGCCTGCCGCCCGCTGCTCTGCCTCGGCCCTGTCACGCTCGGCGCGCTCTGACAAGGCCGCCAGCTCCTGCGTCAGGCGCTCCTTGTCAGCGCGTGCTTGTGCCAGGTCCTCAGACAGCCCTGCGAACGACCCCTCGGTGGCCCGGATGGAGGCGGCCATGCGATCCAGGAGGGCCTGAGCGATCCCGCCAGTGCCATGGCTCCCTGGAGCGTCAGCGGTGCTGGCCCCAGGGACCTGTGCGGGAAATTGTGCTCATGCGTGGGTATTGACAATTGGTGGAGATCAGCGAATGCAGCTGCGGTTGCACAGGCGCCATTGCAGGGCAAGCGCAGCGCCAGTTCCTCAAGATACGGCTCATGCCGATCGTCTCCTCTCAATTCGCCCTTGCCTACCGGCACGGAGACCGATCTTTGCACGGGTCCGGCCCCTGGGTCACTGGCCAGGCTGCCCGCCCCACTCAGCAGGTCCCTCAGCTCCTCCAGGTCGCGGCTGGCCGGCCCAGGCGATGCCGAGTCGGCGCTGTCCGGCCGCACGCGTGGGGCCGAGGCCGCGGGCAGCCCTGCATCTGGCTGGACACTGGGGTGCGGCACTGCCTTCAAGTTCTGCAGGTCCAAGGGCTGCTCTGCAGCCAGGAGCTCCTGCCGTCGCCCTGGCAGCTCAGCGTGGGCATGTGCAAGGTCTGCCTGCGCTCCTGTCAGCTCTGCACGGGTCTGTCCTAGCTCAGCGCGGGTCTGTGCCAGCTCAGCCTGAACCCTCTCCAGCTCTGCGGCACCGGGAGCGCCCTGCACCCCTTCCGCCTCCTCGGGCCCCGCCTCACGTCCACGCAGCTCCTGGGCCGCAACATGAGCCGCCCACGCAGCCTGCGACTCGCCAAGGCAAACGCGTAGGCCCTCGATCTCGGCCTGGGCCAGCTCCAGCTCCCTCCTCTCCACGCGCTCCACCCCCAGGGTGGCCTGAAGCCCGCGCTTCTCCCTCTCCAGCGCGGCCGCCTGTGCAGCGGCCTCCGCGGTGGCGGCCTGCAGCTCCCTCAGGCTGCAGCGCTCGCTGCGCAGCTCCTTGACGGTGCGCAGCGCGGCGGCCAGCTCCGCAGCGGCGTCCTGGGCGGCGGACCGCGCGGACACAGCCTCCGCACGGGCGTCTGCGAGGGCCGCGACCAGCATCTCCACCTGGGACTCCAGCTCGGCGCGCTCGGAGGCGGGGCCAGGCGCCGCAACGCCCTCGTCTCGTCCCTGGAGAATTGCAATTGGAATAAATGGAGGTGCTGAGCGGGCCAACGCCCAGGGACAATGAAGTTCCCACTCATGCAAAATCGCATGATTCACCTCATTGCCCGCAGACAAAGGAACTGCACACCTGCAGCTGCTCCAGGGCCGCTCGTAGGTGCTCATTCTCCTCAGACAGCCTTTTTTGCGCCTTCAGGCGCATGCGGAGGGCCTCGTTCTGGGCTGTGAGCAGTCGGATGGCATCCTCAGCGGCCAGATCTGCATTGTGAACGGGGGATTTGGGGTATGGTGTTGCGTTGGGATCAGCGTAGCAGACGGGAAGCGACATTCGCAACCTCATTGTGGCTTTCCATCCTGAAACGCAGCTCACAATACCTGACCCAGGGTTGGCAGCTCGCTGCGCGGCAAAGTTCTGCTGCGCCTGGGCGATGCCGGCTTGGGCGCTGGTGGCCAGCCGGCCCCCAGCGGCCCTGGCCTGATCGGCCAGGGCCTTGAGCTTGTCCCGATTGAACATTTACAGGCTGCTGGGCTGCGGGAGCGGCCTGCGGGGTGCTTGTGTTTCGCCGTGCCTGACGTAGACAGACTCGAATCCGGACGGATCCATCTCCGTCCTTTCCCGGGGCCAGAGGCGGGGGCCTGCCGGCAGGAAGGGCCCCATCCCGCATACCAGCTTCCTCATCCTAAAAGTACGTCCAATGTGGGACGGTCTTACAAGTACAAACAACATGCTCGGGCAGCCAGGGCTGGGTATCAGAGCACCGAGCAGAGTGCGTCGTGAGGGTACATGGTCTGTGAAGGCGGCGACCAGGAATCAGAGCATCTCCCAGCCAGAGCGAGCCGTGGACAGCTGCCTGGACCCATGACTGGCCAGCGGGGAGGAGGCTCCGTCCGTCTGCGGGCTTGGCAGGCCCACCCCATCCAGCAGCGCCCCGCCCCCCAAGGCAGTGCCGGCCTCCCTTGTCGGCGTGCCGGCGTCGCGGACAGTCGCGGCAGAAGGGACAGTGCCCGCGTCGCCCTCCTCGGTCGCATGCAGCGCGCCCGCCTCGGCGTGCATCACCTCGGCCCCCTCGTCCTCGCTGGTGAGCTCATCAGGCTCCCACTCGTCCAGCGGCGACTCGTGCTCCATGGAGAGCCGGGCGCGGGTGACGCACACCAGCGGGGCGCCCCCCGACCTGCTTTCCAGCTGCTCCAGCGCCGAGCACAGGCCCAGGTACTCCTCTGTGTGCAGGAAGAGAAAGAGGGTGGGGGTGGTGGCTGAGGCACTGGATGCGGCAGGCTCATTAAATTTCCTTTCCCAGGTCAGTGAGGCCATCGCCCAGCGCACCCTTGCTGCCGACGTAAAAGCCCAGGGCCAGGGAGGGGTCCATGGCGGTGAAGGGCAGCGTGCGCAGCGTGGTGCCGCAGTACGACCTCCAGTGCTCGTCCCCCGTGGCGGCCTGGAAAGAGTTTGAGGGCACAGAGGGGGAGGGAGATGGGCGCTGAAGCCTGCGCGATGCCATGCTGTCATTGAAGAATCGACAGCTTCAAGTCCCACTCACCACATGAGAAAGCCACTCGACGAGAAAACAGTCAACCAGCACCCCAGGCCTGAAGGGTCCCAATGAGGAAACCTCCTCCCACCGCTCCATTCCCCCTCAATACAGACGCACTCTAGGACACCCGCCCAGCACCTCACCTCCTGCACCTCATGGGGATCCAGGTAGAGCAGGAGGTCCTGCTGGGTGCCCACAAAGTAGAGGGAGGACCCTGGACGGCCCCCGACGATGCCGATGCTCTGGGGCATGGTCAGCACCGCTTGCAGCTGGGGGATGTAACGAGGGTTCAACTGCGCAGATGGGGACAGGGGAGAGGTGAAGGGACAACCCCATTCTGCAAGGCAGTCCAGTCGCATTATATTACCATGCACCCTGCTCCGACGTCCGGTATGTGGAGCAGGGTTTGCCAGGTCCATACTGTACCCTCCCACGGCCCGTCGCATCAGGGAGGCCCACTTCACTCCCGATAGTCCACCCCTCACCTTGCCCAGTCCAAGCACAAGTGGGACGAGCATGATCAGCCCTGGGCGCTTGGCGCAGGAGGAAGGGCCGCCCCCTCCGGCCGGCCTAGGCTCTGGGCCGGCCGCGGCCTCTCCGCCAAAGGGTCCACCCCAGAGATCCTCGTGACTGGGGAGGGGAGGCGGGTCGGGCGGGTCAGAGGTACCTGCTTGGCCTCGGAATGATGGGTGAGCCCCTGCCAAAATGACCATGCAAGGCCATGCATCCCTGGACACCTGCTGATGAGCAGCTGGGGCACTGCACCGCCAGGCTCGTCCAACACGGCCACAGTCAGCCCGACGTCGAGGAGGGGCCTGCTGGTTCTCGCGACGGCCTCCATCGACTTAGCCATGACCCAGGGGCCCAGCCACCTCCCTGCCTGGACCCTATGCGTGTGTAGCAGGACGGCCGGTTGGTGGGCAGGCCAGCAGTGTTGCAGCGATCCGGAGGCCCAGGTGGGTGGAGGGGCGGTACAAGAGAACCCTGACAGCCGCAAGGTGCAACAGCGACGGAATGACAGTGTGCTGGCCTCCTTTCACACTCCACAAGCCCCCACCCTTCGCCCCACGTCTCACCCGCAGGCCCGGCCATGCTCGCAGAGGGAGTGGATGGACAGCGGGGCTGAGGTCTGTGGGAGGTCGTGGAAGAGGGACAGCAGGCTGGCCAGCCCGGGCGGCGGGCTGGCCACGCTTTCTTCCGGCCAGCGCCAGTCGGAGCCCAGCAGGTGGCGCCGCAGGCCCTGAGCCATGATCATCTGGCCCGAGCGCAGCGTGCAGCCCCACCCCGCGTCCGTTCGTAGGTGCGAGTCTCCTACCGCTGCAAGAGTGTGGAGTGGGTAGAGGGAAGCTGCTGTCGACGGAAGGAGCTGAGGTGAAGACACTCAGCCAACAAGAGGCAACAGGCGCCACCTTCACAGGCCGGGCACTGTCTCTTGAGTCCCAGTCAGCGAGCGCAGGTGTTACTGGTACAACAGGTGGCATCATTCACACATCCGACCCTGTTGAATGGTGTCCTGGGCTGTCTCCCACCCTCTCCAGCACCATCAGGCTCACTGATTGGGGCGAAGTGGGATCGGTACGTCATCCATATGATGGACTGGAAACAGCAGACGAGTTCTCGGAGCACCTGTTGGATCGTGAAGGGAGGGTGAGGGAGAGTTACTATGGGTAGCAATCCAAACAAACACACAAAAAGGACCGACGCCCTCGTCTCCACCACTCCCTCACCTCCTCCTGCTCCTCCTGCCCCAGCTCGGGGCTGGCAGCATACTCCTGCCCCATAATCCATATGGGGGCGTCGGGCGCCAGGGCCGACTGCTGCAGCAGGTCGCGCAGCCGGTTCAGCTTCAAGGCCCGGCGCAGGGTGTAGTAGCTGGAGGACAGGGTCAGCCGAATCTGGTCGTAGGTGCTCAGCGCATCCTGATCACCCATTCTGAGGTCGTGTTTCAAGCGGCACCAGCGAGAGGGGGGAAAGGTGGGTGTCCCACCGGGGTGAGGTCATGCACCCTCGGCAGAAGTGATCCAGGACCGACATAAAGACATTGTACGCATGGGATCCCAAAAACTGAGCAGTGATCGGCCCAAATGAGGTCAATGAAGTACTGTTTCTCGGCGTGAACACGGGATTCCGTACAGAGTGCGCTCGTGGAGTTTTGTGTGCATTGCGGGTGTAGGAAACTCGAAACGCTCACTCCGCTTCAAAGATCATATCGCTGAATTTGTGAGCTCTGCTTGAGATAAATCCAGGTCTATCCTGTATAAATGTCTAAGGCTTAGATCCGCCTTTGGGTCCTTTTAAGGGGGAAGGTGTTGCTCTCCACGGCCACTGGCCAGACCCACCTTCGCCATGGAGGTTCTGGACCCCCAGCTGGCCGCCGATCCCATGCTCGCTTCCCTCATTAGGTAAGGCTCATGTTTGTGAGATTGGATTTCTCATGTGCCCAAGGGCCCGCCTTTCGGTGTGCCTGGATCGGACAGGAGGAAGCCGGTATGTTGACTGCCGTGAGCATCGAATCCCACATCCCACTCTCATCACCTCTGGATTTTGCAGGGAGGAAGCTCAGAGCAGACAAGCTCTGCAACTTCGCCGTGCCTTCAGTGATGGTGCGTAGTATGTAGAAGGACGTGGTGTAGGAAGGGGTCCCTCCCTGGGGGAGGTCTTTGGCTGCACCTCAGCTGTGTCCGCAGCACATGCAGATACCACTTGCACGCTCCGCAGCCCATCCTTCCTTTCCATTAACACCATGCTAGAAAGTGCTGCACCAAGCAGACGCTTATATGTTGCCCTGACGCCCCCCTCTCAACCCCTGTCCCTCAGCCGCCAGCCCGCTGTCCATAGTACGCCAGGAGGCATACTTCCGCATCTCTCTGCAGATCGATCAGGGGCTGAGCCTGGGGCCCCCCACCTCCACAGCCGTCCTCCAGGCCCTCACCGCGCATCACCACGAGATCGTGGGGTCTGCGAGGGACGCGCTGGCCATGGCCCCCAGCTCCGAGCCCAGTCAGCGCGAGGTCTCGGAGCCCGAGCTGGTCTCCCTCCTGTCCGTGCTCCAGGCGGCGTGCCTCTTCCAGCCGGATACCCAGCGCGCCGCCTGCGAGGCAGGCATCATCCAGGTGTGGTGATCCAGAGGCAAGGATGGCGAGGGAGGTTCAGGGGGCTTGTAGAGGGTATGAGTCCTGGATCAGCCCGATGGAGGTGTGCGCAAAATGGGTGGACAGGTACTTGCCTGCAGCCTCTGCTGGGGAGTCCATGTGCATGTGGACGGCACGATCACTGCCCAGCCAACCCTACCTTCCTCCCCCACTCCACCCCCGCCGCAGCTGCTGCTGCAGCGCCTCGCCGCCGCCACACCGGTGCTGGCCTGCTCCTGCTTCGACACCCTCATGTCCGTCCAGCACCAGCAGCCCCCCGCCTTCTCCGAGTTCGTGCGCCAGCGCGGCGTAGAGCAGGTGTGCGAGGTGCTGCGCCACGGCGGCGACCGGGTGCGCGCACACGCGGCTCGTTTCCTCAACCTGCTGCTGACGCACCTGGCGCCCGCGCTGCGCGGCGAGGGCGTCGAGGAGGACGTCGCCGCGTCGGGGCGCAGCGTGCAGAGCGTGCTGGGCAGGGAGGCCTCGGCCATGCTGCACCGCAAGGTCGACCTGGCGGATGCGCAGGCGGAGGGGAAGCTGAGCCAGCTGGCCAATGCGCTGCAGTTCTTCATGGGCTGAGATGGATGGGTCCTGTGGACAGTCTGCAGGCATGCCAGCCATCTCTGATACATGATCATAGCTTTGTACACCTTCTTCTCAGCTAGACCTTCTTCCAGTGTGTACGCCCCTTGATGGCGTGTTCTCCCATGATTCGTCCTTGAACGTGTGTTAAAGCCCTTCAGCAGCTCTGGAAAATCTCGCACCATTGATCTGTTGCGACCACCGGTTTGCGCGCACATCTGTAGGCCCACTTCCGGCGCGATCTGGAACGCATGAGCACAAGGATGCACTACCCAATTCAGGGACATTGCCAGTGTGTTTGTCTGATAGTCGCGGCTCACCATCGGCCAGAGCTTGTCATGGGTGACCGTTGGGCCAGAGCGATCGCTGCCTAGAGGTCGCTGCATTGGGAGGCCGCAACCCCCAATCTGGAGAGAATGTACGTTTCGTTTCTCTAGAATCTCATATTGAAGCACTGAGGAATGACGTCCTAGCCCTGAGAGTCTTCCAATGCGTTTCACAGCAAAGGTGGGTGGTGGGTGGGTGTCCCACGGGTGCGAGGGTTTGGGTTCATACCGAGTCCGCCCTTGGTGGCATACAGATCACTACTTTTGCTACTATGCACTCGAATATGATGTATACATGTATCGCATTGCATGGCTGTGTATCTGCCTGTGTCCCGGACCTGGACGGCCAACTGACGGAGAAGGGGCAGCCACCCACCAGCCCTCTGCACCCTCCCTCCGCCGGCACGCAGGTGAAGGTGGAGCAGGGCGACGCCTCGGGCTCCTTCGTGGCCGCCCAGCCCCCCAAGGAGACGATGGTGGAGCTCTGCCGCGACGCCTGCGGCCTGCACACCCTGGTGCTGCACACCAAGCCGCGCCCCCTGGCCCTGCCCTGCAAGGCCCCGCTCGTCCTGTACGGTGGGAGCGCGGCCCAGGGGCGGCTGGGCATGCGCTTCCTGGCCGTGAAGACGGAGGCGTGGCGGTCGGTGCCGCGCTGCGTCCAGCTCACGCTCACTTCAGCCGATGCTGCGGCGCTGTGCGGCCTGCGGGACCGGCTGCACGCCTGCCTGGGAGGCGGGCCGGTCAAGGCCTCTGGGCACGTGCCAGTGCCCACGGGGTCGAAGACGAGCGCGCAGCCCCCGCGCCGCCCGCTGGCGGCACGCGACCTGAACGTCACGGTGAGCGAGCCGCGGCCAGCGCCGTCGCTGGCCTCCACCTGCTTCTTCGGCGGCGGCCAGGTGAAACCCAGGCCCGCAGCCTCGGGGTCCAGGCCCGCCAGCTCGGCGGTGTCGTCGGGGTCGCGGAGGAGTGTCGCCTCTCGGCCCTGCCAAGGCGTCACAGACCTATCCCCCGAGCAGCAGCGGGCGGTCGCCCTGGTCCGCGCCGGGAAGAACGTGTTCTTCACAGGTGCGTGCACGTGGGGGGGTGCAGTGGCGTCCCTTGGGGTGAAAGAATTCTGCCAGAGGGTCCTCAACAGCCAAGTAGGAAGGGTTGGCATTCTGGCTTGTGGCGACAACAGAGGCTGCCCGGGCGCGTCCTGGCCAGGGTATGCGCCAGAAGCAGTCAGCAGACTCCCGAAACCACCAACCCCTGCCTCGCTCCAGGTTGCGCCGGGACGGGCAAGTCGCGGCTGCTGGCGGCCATCATGTCGGTCCTGCCCCCCTCCACGACCTTTGTCACGGCCAGCACGGGCCTGGCAGCCTGCGCGCTGGGCGGCACCACCATCCACGCCTTTGCCGGGGTGGGCAGGGCGGAGGGTGGCATAGACGCCATGGCGGCGCGGGCCGGGCTGGGTGAGAGCGCGCAGCGCTGGCGCCGCGCCGCCGCCCTCATCATCGACGAGGTGGGACAAGGGGGGGCAGCGGGCGCAGGCCAGTCTTGGACGGCACGGGTCGAGCTCCGCCACACCCCGATACCCCTTTGTCACGTCCCAGATATCCATGCTGGATGCGCACCTGTTCACTGCTCTGGAGGAGCTGGCGCGGCGCCTGCGGGGCTCCCAGGCCCCGTTTGGGGGCATCCAGCTCATCCTCTCCGGCGACTTCCACCAGGTCAGCGTTCGAGGGTTCGTGGGGGTGGGAGGCTGCTGTTTGGAGATCAGGGGTTGAGTCTTGCCTGCTGGCCTGCTGGAGGTGGGCCATGTAATTGCATGCAGGGCTCTTTGCATGGCCTCGTGCACGCCTGCACCGTATCATGAACCCCCTCCTCCGCCCTGCTCTGCTCCCTGGGTCCTCGCCCTGCCTCCTTTGCTCATGGTCCCCAAGCACTTGCACCTCCAACTCACCATCTGCTTGCAGCTGCCCCCGGTCACCCGCGGCTCGGGGCGCCGCGCCTTCTGCTTCCAGTCCCCCGCCTGGGAGCGCTGCGTCCAGGCCAGCGTCGTGCTGTCTCGCGTGTACCGCCAGGCTGGGGACGAAGGCTTCATCGCCCTGCTGGGCCGCCTGCGCGTCGGCGCGGCGACCGCGGCCGAGCTGGAGGAGCTGCAGCGCCGCTGCGCGCCGCGGGCAGGACCGGCGGACGCCCCAGATCCTGCCCCTGGTACGGGCGCCTTCGCGCCGCCGCCGCCCGCCGTGCTTTCCACGCACCTGTTCACGCACCGCGCCGACGTGGACGCGGTGAACGCCGCGGCGCTGGCGGCGCTGCCCGGCCCCGGCCGCACCTTCCACGCGCGGGACGAGGGTGCCCCCAGCGAGGCGCTGGACGCCGCCTGCCCCGCGCGCGCCTCGCTGGAGCTGCGCACCGGGGCCCAGGTCATGCTCCTGCGCTCGCTGGCGCCACGCGAGGGCCTGGTCAACGGCGCACGCGGCGTGGTGGCCGGCTTCGACGCCGCGCGCGGCCTGCCCGTCGTGGCCTTCGCCGCCGGGCCCACGCGCGTCGTCGCGCCCGAGCGCTGGACGCTGCGCTCGGGGGGGCGCGGCGGCGCGGCGCGCGAGGCGCTGCCCCTGGGCCTGGCCTGGGCGCTGAGCGTGCACCGCTGCCAGGGCATGAGCCTGGACGCAGTGGAGGTGGACCTGGCGCGCGCCTTCGAGCCGGGCATGGCCTACGTCGCGCTTTCCAGAGTGCGCGGCGCGGCGGGGCTGACCATCGCCCCGGGAGGCATCGCGCCCGCCGCCCTCCGCGCCGACCCCGCCGTCCTGCAGTTCTATGAACACCTGCGTTCGACCAGAGGGGATCCGGTGCTGGAGGAGGACAAGGAGGCGGACACCGCCAGCACGCCGCCACCGCCGTCGTCGAGGGGTAGCAAGGCGCCGGCCGGAGGGGCGACGATGGGGGCGAGGAGTACTCCGCTCAACCTGCGATGAGGCGCGAGAACCGGCCGCCGACGAGTCTTCTGTGTCTGCCTGACCCTGGCCATGAAACTCCAGACCCCTACCATTCCCCTTGGGCACCCTAGACATGCAGGATCCAGACGTCGAGTCGTGTGCATCACCTCCTCCCTGCTCGTACGCTCAGAACATCGACTTTTTGGTCGTTCTCTCGCACAGCTCCACTTTCTGGGAACCAATGCGGCGAAGCCAGCCCTCGTCGATATTCCCTGCCCCGTTGCTTGAATGGTGCACATGTGATACGTACCACCTCACCCCTCTCTCTTACACTTCTGACCAACAGGCATGACCTCCTCTGCCACCTTGACGCTGACCCTACCCCCAAAACACACATACACCCATACATTGCCCCACTTCCGTCCCACCATGCGATCACCGCATCGTGAACATCACCAAGAAGGGTTAATCACAGTGTTACATTCAGAAGGGAGTGTTCTGGGGATGATGGGAAAGGGGTGTTGGCACACGACAAGACAGTGGGAAAGTGGGCATGGGCGGGGCGGGATCTGCTGTGGTGCCCCGAGCCCCGCCACACCCCCAAACAGCTCCAGCACCAGTCGATCACTTGAGGTGCCCGATGATGGCCTTGGTGAAGTCCTTGGTCCCCGACTTGCCGCCCAGGTCGCGGGTGAGGTACTGCCCCTCCGCGATGGTGGCCAGCACCGCCTGCTCGATGTTCCCAGCCACGTCAGTCAGGCGCAGGTGGCGCAGCATCATGACGCCGGAGAGGAGGAGGGCGGTGGGGTTGGCAGCGTCCTTGCCCACCAGGTCCGGGGCGGTGCCGTGCACCGCCTCCATGAGCGCTAGACCGTTGGCTCCAATGTTGCCCGAGGGCGTCAGGCCCAGGCCGCCGATCAAGCCGGCGCAGAGGTCGGAGCAGATGTCGCCGTAGAGGTTGGGCATGACCATGACGTCGAACTGGGTGGGGCGGGTGACCAGCTGCATGCACGTGTTGTCCACGATCATCTCATCGTACTTGATGTCGGGGTAGCGCTCCGCCACCGCACGCACGCAGCGCAGGAAGGCGCCGTCGGTCAGCTTCATGATGTTGGCCTTGTGCACGGCGGTGACCTTGCGCCGGTTGTTCTTCTGCGCGTAGTCGAAGGCAAACTCCGCCACGCGTGTGCTGGCCACGTGTGTGATGATCTGGGTTGGCAAGGTGGGAATAGTTTGGAGGTTGAGGGCATTCTTTGAGGGACGATGGGGTGTGGGATGATGGGGCGTGTGGGGGGATATATGTGTGTGGGGGGGGGCAAAAACACAGCGCTGGTGGTCGGCAAATCCCTCCCCAAAGGTATTGCTGAGGGGGCAGGCCCATCCTCGCACAGCACCCTCCATATGCTCAGCAGGCTACCACATCTAGCCAAATACCCTTCCAACCCGACCCTTGAGGCCATTCCCACGCACCTTGAGGGACTCCACCACGCCGGGGACCACCTCGTGCTCCAGTCCGGAGTACTCGCCCTCCGTGTTCTCGCGGATGGTCACCAGGTCGACGTCGTCGTACCGCGTCTTGTAGCCGGGGATGCTGCAGGATTTGGGGGTGGGGAAGGAGGAACGGTTGGCATGTAGTATTGTCAGTCCCTGCACTGCTCAGGGCAGCCGGCCTGCGTCGAGCTTCCTTGCCGCCTTCACACCGAAGACCTCCCCTCCCCCCATGCACCGGGCCCGCTCACCTAACGCAGGGGCGCACGTTGGCGTACAGCTGCAGCTCCTTGCGCAGGGTCAGGTTCAGGGAGCGGAACCCCTTGCCGATGGGGGTGGTCATGGGGCCCTTGAGCCCGATGCGATGCTTCAGGACGGAGTCCAGATTCTCGCGGGTGATGAAGCTGTTGGTGCGCGGGTCCACCTCCTTGCCAATGTGCTGCTCGTCCCAGACGATGGGGGCCTCCGCGGCCTTGAAAATGGTCTGCACGGCCTCCGCGATCTCGGGGCCGATGCCTGTGTTGGGTGGGGGGCGGGGTTTTACAAAGGATCCTAGCCACAGTCGCAACTCACAGCACCATTTACCTGCAAGGCAGCCATCGATACCTCATCCATGTCCAAAATACCATGGCGCCGGCTACCTACCATCTCCAGGGAAGAGGGTCGCGGTGAGGGGGGTGTTGGCGGAACTGTACGCCCTGACCAGGTTGGAGCTCTCAGCCAGGCTGGAGCTGGCGCGGGTCGCCTGCAGACCCCTCAACAGGGCGGAAGCCACACCCTGCCGCATCGCGTGGAGACGAGTTCAGGAGGCCGGGAGAAGGCGGTGCAGGGCCGGCTCACGTCAGAGAGACAAACTGAGGCAACGACGAGCAAGAGATGCGGGAGGTCACTGGTGGTATTATGGTAATTCGAAGTCGAAAGGACGGGTCCCCGACAATGTGGTCGCACTATGGGTTTGGGTCGAGGGGGTCGAACCCTACGGCCTCCCCGGGGGGGGAGGCCTGCCCTGCTGCGTCTGCGGCGACCTGGGCCCGGTCAAGCCACAACGCACAGGGGAGTCGCCTATTGCTTGGTGATCATCAATAAACAATCCTGGGTATCTTTCAGGCCGAGCAACTCTTGTGAAAACTGTGAATGTGCCCCCCAGGCTCTGTAAACTGGAAAATAATCCTGAACATTGGGCTTTGGAGCAGCAGGGTATGTGCCAGACCCCAAGGACCAGTGAGGAGATTATTCTCATGTTTACGATGTACAGAAGATATTCGAGCTTGATAAGCCTCTTTGACAGGTTCAGTTAAGAACCTGTCAGGGCCCTTCAATCACAAGTACACAGCCAACACATGATTTGAATCATGTGCATATCTTTAACATTGCATAAGTTTTGAAGCGTGATTTTAGGGTCATTTCGTTCTTGTTTTGGTGCTGGGGAGTGTGCATAGACCGATCTTGGCAGAACTGGGGGACTTGGCGGGAACCCGTGACTCATCGACTAAGACACGCGACCCAGGGCCGAACTGCTGCGGTAATCTCCCACTGGACCCTAAACAGCACTTGAGATGGCTGATTAGTAGTACACAATCGAAAGCGTTGTTTTCTCTCTGAACCCTGCAAGTAGCTTCCTGGCCAATGGCTTCGTTCGCCGACGCTCCCGCTGGGGATGCGGCCAAGGGAGCCAAGATCTTCAAGCTGAAGTGTGCTCAGTGCCACGTTGCAGAGAAGGGTGGCGGCCACAAGCAGGTGAAGATTCGCGGGGAGTCGGACGAGGGTAGGGCTGGGATAGACTCGGAATGCGTGTGCCCTCAGACTCTGCCCCGAAGGTATGCAAGACATTGCAAGCGCGCTGCTTGCGCGGTGCACTGTGCTCAGAAACATGTACTCAAGGAAATGTCGCTGGATGCGTGCAGGGTCCCAACCTCGGCGGCCTTTTCGGGCGCGTGTCCGGTAACGCGGAGGGGTTCAGCTATAGCAAGGCCAACAAGGAGAAGGCGGTGGAGTGGAGCGAGAGCACCCTCTACGACTACCTGCTCAACCCCAAGAAGTACATCCCAGGTGTGTCCTTGCTGCAGGGTTGGATCGGGAGGGGGTGGAGGGGGAGAGGGGTCGCGTGGTGCCTACAGACCAGACATTGAGCAGCTCTATTGATTGGGAACTATGAGTGTGGCTTTCTCACCTCAAACGATTGCCCTACCATAAAATTGCTGCAGGCACCAAGATGGTGTTCGCCGGTCTGAAGAAGCCAGAGGACCGTGCTGACCTCATTGGTGAGCATGAGTGCCCACTCTGGAGGATCTTACATGGGGAGATTCGTGCATGGCAGCCGATCTGTTGACGTGACTCAAACCATTCCCTTTGCCCCTCTTTCCCACAGCGTACCTGAAGGATGCCACGGCCTGATCTGGGCTTCGTGCAATCGCAACCGACAGCCCTGTAGAAGAATCTAGTGCCCATGGGCCTGCTGAACAATCTGTGTAGAAGAGGCACCCTGCGTATGTCATCTGACTGTCGGGCTGCAGCAGCCCACCAACTTACTGCCGTCATCTCGGGAGTTCTGCCACGTGCCCATGTGCAGTTGTGAGCGCACACTGACAAAATACAGGATGAGGACGAGGGGAGAGGCACTGACAGCTTGTGGGCAGCCTCGAATTGGAGTGAAGCGTGATTGGCAAACATACGGCAATAGTAGGTAGTTGAAAACCCACTGATTCTGAAAATTTAGTACTTGCATCGGAGTCTTTTGTGAGTACCCATTAGCTAACATCCGGCCAAGGCAGGGAATCGAGCGCCAATCATGTGCCCCTCGACAGCCAAGATGGGTCCCTGATGAGCACTGCGAACGAGCAAGCTCAAGGCGCGAGGAGAGACTCGATAATACAAACATGCGGTATGCAAGCCTATCATGCGTGCCAGCAGAGGTACAGCTCGCTGCATCATCCGCGCACGACCATCCGCACTGACCATCTGCAGGGGGCATGACGGTCGTGGATCTAACGCTGAGTGACACAGAAGCCTGCACCCCTCAGGTTTATCATCTTGCAACATAGAATGGTGGTCATTGCACGGGGCAGGGTGTGTGATCATACAGTTGGGACTGCTGTGAGTGCCCACCTCTGATCCTACCAGGTGCCCACCAGGAGGGACCGCCCAGGGGAGGGGACCTCCCCACCCCTGGCATCGTCTCCAGACCTGCGCCGTAATCAGGAGAGCAGCTCTCCAAAGGATGATGTGGCGCATTCGCAGGTGTGATAGAAGCAGAGGCATGAGGCGACGCCTATGAGTTGCACATGAACCCCCAGCCAGACGCCTCACCATGCTAACCCTGCACATCACACAGGACTCACGAGGGTGCGTGGATCACGAGACGCAAGAGCAGCTCCCTGCATCAGCCTGCAATGCCAGCGAGCCAGACTCCCAGGTCACCATGCACCTGCCAGTGGCAGGGGAGCCCGCACCGCCGCGTGCAAGGAAGAAGCGGCGGACGGCCGAGGAGAAAGCGCGGGACGAGGCCCTGAAGCGAGCGCTCCGGGACCAGAAGAAGCTGGCGGCTTCGTTCTCATCGCAGCGCCAGATGCTTCAGCACATGACGGTGCTGGTGGACCCCCGACTCATGGAGACCGACCTGGGGCTCGCCATCGGCGGTGAGCGGGTCACGTGTAGGGGAGGATGCATGCATCCAACTGAGGCAGGAACTCCAGGGTTCAGAAGCCACTGTACATTTCTCAATCCATATCCCAAAACCAGCCCAGCCTGGCATCCCAGTTCTCGTCGTACCCTGAACATCGGCCACTTTATGAGTTCAACCCTCCCCCTGGACCCCAGCCAAGCTCCAGGAAACGCAGACAGGTCCCCCGGACAAGGCGGTGGCTTTTGTGGTTCGGGACGTGGGGCTGGCGCAGTACAGGGCGGTGCGCTGGACCAGGCGGATGCTGGAAGACCCCGGACAAGAAGTGAGCTTGAGGTGGGGGGTATCGGTGCTGCCATTGCACCCATGCAGGACCATTGTCATGGAGTTTGCCAAGTACAGCTGGGCGCCTGAGGTGTCGTGCAGCATGAACCTCGTCAGCTTGGCACACGCTCAGCAATTCTGCACTCTGCTTTGCACAGGGTGCTCAAGCCAGGGTGAGGGAGGTCGAGGTGCCCCACGTCCTCATCTGCTTCAAGGTGCGGAATCCGTAGCTCAGTACGGGGGATCCTGGCCGATGCGTCTGCGCGCCGATAAGCTTACTCCCTAGCCTCGCCGTGCCTGGTTGGTGGGAAGACCGCCGCAGGGCCTGCTGGACCCTTTACACATCCAAGACGCCTCTGCAGCCCCGAACAGGCAGCCATCTCCCCACCGCCATGCAGGCCGCCGAGTTCGTGGAGGCGGTCCAGGCAGACGGCCTGGCCGGCCTGCTGTGCACGCTGACCACGCACTGCCCTGCCGCCCGGCCCCACCTCCTCGTCTGTGGCCTGGCCGCACACCTCGCCCGCCTTGAGCGGGCTCAGCATGCACAGCACATGGGCACGGGCGGCGCGGCGCCCAGTGCGGTCTCCCGCGTGGCCGTGGAGGACCTCGTCACCGGCCTGGCCGTCAGCTACCCAGGCTTGGGCTTCAGGGAGGCCGTCGACGGGCACGCTGCGGCCGAGCACGTGCTGCTGCTCACCACCGCCATTGCACGCACCGCCTTTGCCAAGAGCGTGAGCAGGGGGGGGCTGGGACTCGGGGGGGGCGACCGCCGTGTAGCATCCTGCAATTCTTGGGTGGCGCTGGGGTTCCCGAGGGACGCTACCGGCTCTACCCTGTGCAGGCTTCCCAAGTCACCCCCGCTGTCCTGAGGCCCCAACCCCCTCCCTCCTGGGCCTGGCACCCCCAAACAACCCTTCTCCCGACCTGGGCACCTCGAAACCCCCCTCCCCCAACACACACCATACCACACCCTGGAGCAGGAGTCGGTGCAGTGGTTCCAGGCACACAGCAAGCGGTGCGGGACCGCCATGGAGGCCCTGCTGGCCCAGCACCCGGTGACCGGCGCTGAGCAGCAGAACATTGAGGCGTTGTGCAAGCTGCCGTCCGTGCTGCCCAGCATTGCGCACGCAGTAGTTGGCCGCTTTGGCAACCTGGGCAGGCTCATGGATGAGCTGGCCCGGGCACGTGGCAGGTGTGGGTGCTGGTCTGTGTGTGCGTGGGTGGCGAGGGGGGGGCTTGGATGGGGGCAGCCGGGAGGCCCACTCCCCCCCTCTCATCACTGATACAAGTCTGGTAGCAAGGGCTCGACGCAGGGCGCACCGCCGCCCAACCACTCGCCCGCTCCACACCCAAACACAGACACCCACTTCCCACCATGCACCCCGACAGCGCGACGCTGCCCGCCTTCCGGTCAGGCATCGAGCGCATGATGCGCACGGGGACGAGCCGGCCCACCAAGGTGGGACCCAAGGCCGCCGCCTCGCTCACAGACTGGCTGAGCTGCACCGCCCCTGAGCGCAGGGTCTGCGGCGAGGCGGCCTAATGATCCCGACCGCTGTCTGACCCGTCTCGCCCACAGTGAGGGGTTCGTTCTGTACACATCCCCTCCAAGCAAGGCACAGTGGGCATGATGGCAACGGTATCACTCGGCAGGTCGGACGGCCTTGGCGGGGGGGATGCTGTTGAAGAAGGGGTTCAGGAAGGCGACCTTGTCGGGGGCGCCCTCGAAGGGAGCGGCAGCGGCGTAGGCCACAGACGCGTCCTCCCAATCCTGCGCAAACATACATGGGCGGGTGGAAGATTGGAGTCGAACCCATCAGCGCCGTGGGCCGAGACAGTGCATGTGTCCGGGTAAGCCAAACCCTGGATCCACACCGTACCCGAGAAATGGTGTTGGGCACCGTCGCGGACGTGTGCCGGGCATAGAACACTGCCGCCACTGCGGTGAAGAGGCCGAGCACGGGGCCGATGATCTTACCGGCTGGGACGTGCCCATTGCCGGGAATAGGGTGCACTCCGCCAACCATGGTGTTTGCGAGGACTTTGCCGAAGGGGATATACTTGGCGCTCCTGGTAGGTGCAGCGGGGCTTGGTTATAGATACACAAGAAGGGATTTCATGTATGACTCATGGTGTTTTGGGTTGGGGTGGCTGAGGAGTCTCCGGGGGCGCGCGCGGTTCCTATTACCTTCCTCACGTCTTCTACGGAAATTACTCATCATTCCTAAAGGGGGTGGTGTCTGCCACTGCCGTCCCAGGCACAATGGGCGAGATGGGAGAATCGATAACGACAGAAGTGCTTTGGTCCGCCCTTGACAACGGGTGTTCAGAGACAGTGTGATCCTGTGCTGTCACGAATCTTCTTGAGGGCTGCCATCGCAGCGTCCAGCTCCCCCAACGCCCTGTCCCTTGCGGTGGCAGCATGGTCTTCCTTGGCCACAGGGCCAGAATCCAAGGGAGAACCTAGCCTTGCCATCGGCCGCGGCACTGTGTGGGATGGGTTGGGGCTTCCCAGCGGGGTCGGCCCGCCAGCCGTCACTGCCTTGCTGATGTGTCGCAGGTTTGGCGACAGCTTGAGGCAGGTCACCGCTCCTCTGCACATGCCAAGGAGTGAGGAGGGCTCAAAGTTCAGGTCCCCTAGGTCCCATGAAGGGGTAGGTGACGGGGCTCAACCATGCTTGGGCAAGACTTGAACAGCTTTCATGTACCTTCACGACTCGCAAAGGGGTCAGACTCACGCGTACCAATGCATCCTTTCCATCCATCAACCCTAACCCAAACGCCCCACCTGTCGTCTCCCACAAGAAGCAGGGGCTCCTTGGGGTTGAAGGCCAGCTTTGTGAGTTTTGTCTTGTTAGCAAGCTGCGAGCATCATGCATGAGGTGAGATCTCTGGATGACCGATGTTTCAATATTGTGTACATCGTCAAGACTATCCAGCAATCTGCTCCTGTCATCCAATGCATTCCGTGTCCAACTTCCGTTTCCCAATCACAGAATGACTGAGACTCAATAGATACACTCAAAGCACGTACCCTGCCCAGTCTTCACACCTTTTGTACGCAAAGCGCGTGGCGTCTGTCCTTGGAAAGGTCGAAGACATGGACCCGCCCGTTCTCGGTGGCGGCGGCAAACACCACAGACGCCCCGGGAAGCCATGCTACGTCTGCTGCGGGGGCCTGTAGGTCAAAGCTCGCCAATGCCTTTTTTTCAACGGACGAGCATGGAGGGGGGGTGGATCAGTGGGTTCAATTTGCTATTCAGGGGGACACTGCGAAGCAGCAGGCAAGCAGAGAGAGTTGCGGAGCACAATAGCACTCCAAAGCACGAGCTGCCAGGCATGCTGGCCCATCGCATCCACCCGCGGTCATGTCCTTGCACCAAGGCAACCCACTTTCCGGGCTTGCCTTTGGGTCATTCACATCCCACAGCCTGACGGCCCAGTCAGCACCAGCCGAAAGAAACACGCGTGGATGGAAGTCGCTCCACCGCACCGCATACACTGGCATGGAGTGTGCCCGGAATGTCTGCGGGGGCATCAAAGGAGGGGGCATCTTGGGCGTCGGGGTGTGGCCGGAAGATCATGGGTCACTGATGACCCTGCCAGGGCGCCCCTGCAATGACCGCAGCCCCGGCTCCCCTGATGGCAAGGCCCTGCAACAAGCTGCATGCTACGGGACATAGGCGCGCATGATCTGGGGAGTTGAGTTGCTGATGCGCACGGTAACAAGCCTTTGAGGTTTGGGTGGCGTCGATGCCAGCCACTCTCCAACCATGGCGGGGACTGCACCTGGAGGGGTGAAGTGGTGTGTGCCGTCGAGCACTTGCAGATCGTGCCCTCGTGGGTCCCCACGAGGAAGACGTCTGCCTGGCTGCCATGGAAGTCCAGGCACAAGCAGCCTGCGGGGTTGCAGGACACAGAGTTGATCAATATAAAGCTCCCTGGATCGCAGGTAGGGCTGACACCGTGAGAGGATGAGACTCCGCCGCACTCTCCCCTGTGCCCATGGATCTGATCTCACCTGCAAGGTCGAGCGCCTCCTCGTCCTCGGTCTCCGAGCCACCCTCAATGGGAGGAGCATGGATGGAGAGGAGGTCCTGCGTGCGAGTGGGAAGTGCTGGATGATCCAGCAAGGACTTCTCCTGGCTGATGCCTGCACATGCTCCCCCAGGCAGCAGCACTTGCCAGAGAAACACGAATGCCATGCAGATGGTGAGCGGAAGAGACGGGGAATTGTGGCAACCACTTGCTAAGAGATCTTTGGGGTGAGGCAAAGGTTTCATGCAGGTAGACCGAACCCAGCCCCCAGCCCCTGTCAGTCACCCCATCTGCCACCTGGCAAGTCAGTCGGCCGCGGGCTGCATGCCACTCCACCACGTGACCGTCGCTGTACGTCGTCACCAGCCGCAGCTCATTGCCCTCACAGGGACGCCAAACCACCTTTGAGAGGGAAGGGAAGATCGACGTAGGGATATAACCATGTAATCTGAGCGAGGAGCTGCACACTTTGAGTTGGTCCCTGCCCCCCTACGGGAGCCTATTGTGGGATAGAAGGAGCCCAGCTCCACGCAGCTTCCGCGGTTTCTGCGCCGCTGACATGGTCAAAGAAAAGGGGAGTGCAGACGCACCTCTACATCCGGCCCCCTAAGCCCTTGTCCCCAGTCACCTGCCACATGGGTTCCCAGCGGCCCCCCTCCCCCAGCCGGGAGGCGTACAGGGGCGCAGGGGCGGGGGCGTCCTCGGCCTGGCCCAGCCTGCCCATGAGGCTGTAGATGTGCAGGGAGCCGTCGTGGCAGCCGACGGCCAGCACGTCGGCATGCACGGGGTGGAAAGCGAGGCACATCACCCCTGCAAGAGGGGTGGGAAGAGGGGCTCGCAAGATTGGAGACACCAGCTGGTGCCCCCTTCAACTGAGGTGTGCAGCGGGCATGATGCTCTTCATGCCTCGCAGGCTCCCACGCCCAGCCTGGAACATCCTCCCTCCCTCCACCCCAGCCGTCCCGCACCCGTCGGCAGCCGCAGCGTGAGCTCGGGACGGGAGGGGGCCTTGAGGGAGTGCACGGCGACGGCCCCTCGCAGGGGCTTCGCGGGGTCAAATCCCCCGTGCCCCACGGCAAAGAGGTCGGGGTGCCCGGGGCACCAGGCCAGCGCGGTGACAGCGTGCCGCGCATTCCCCGGCGCGGGGAAGAGCCAGAGGGGCAGCAGCGTGCCCTCCCGCGCCCGCACCTCGTCCGCCGGGTCGTCCCAGTACCGGCAGTCCAGCAGCGCCCCACGCAGCGCGTTCTGCATCAGCATGCGCTCCAGGACGCAGCGGGCCGGCTCCAGCAATTCCTGCGTGGCGCTGCCCGCGCCGGGGTCGCGAACGTCGCCGCCCCGGCCGCGCTGCGGCGGGGGTGGGGCTGAGGCGAGGAGGGTGGCCAGGGGGCCGGGGCCGCCGCATGGGAGGCCGCCGAGAACGCCCGGGGGTTTGGGGCCACGACCAGTAGGTGGGGTTGCCCCGGCGTCCTCGCGGCGCTTTTCGCCGACACCGGCGCCAGGGGCGCGTCGGCCGGGCACCGGGGCGCCGGGCCCTGCTCCCACCAGGGCGGCGGAGTGCACGGCGTCGCACTGGCCGCAGGCTGTGGCACGGGGCGCGCTCTGCGTCTGCACCTGGCGGCTGCGTGGCAGGTGGCGGGGGGTCTGCGTCCCACGGTCGGTGCGGGGGCCCGGTAAGGGCGCGGGCTCCGGCGGCTCGGGGTCCATGCCCGGCATGCAGGGCGCGGTGCTCGCGCAGCACAGCCCGGGGGCGAGTGCCAGGTGGCACACCGTGGCCGCAGCGGTGCGTGCCTGGTCCGCCACGAACGCCGCATGCAACGGCGCCCACGCGATCGCAGGGACGTCGCTGCCGGGCAGCAGGCACTGCAGCTGCCGGCCCACTTCCTCCTCCAGCGCGGCAGGGGCGAGGCTGAGCTGGCCGGGCGGGGGGAGCACCAGGACCGTGTCCTGTGGGAGGGAAGGGAGTCCTTGCGAGTCACGAGCGGGTGCCTGAAGCTCCACCAGACTGGGTGGCCGCCCGGAACAGCCTGCAGGCAGCCTATCTCACAGGGCATTGCAGATGTTCTGATAGGAGTGAGTAAACTGCCATGCTTGCCATTCGGGAAGGTCTTCACAGGTCACGCCCTGGCCCAACCCACCAGAGCGTCATCGGCAGGGCCTGGGGCCAGAGCTCCGGTGGAGACATGGATGGAGGCCTTCACGCCTGTCCCCGGCTTCTTTCCAGGTGCCACACTGGATCGCACCAGGCGACTCGGTGAAGGCCTGCCCCTGGATCGGTCCATCTGCATGGGTCCGGGAGTCGTGGCATTGCGACGCGCAGCTGTCAGTCCCCCCTCGCCGTGACGTCGCGACGGCCGGCTCGCGGTGCGGCAGACGCTGAGCACCACCCTCAATCACCTGAAGCCTATCAAGGTACCAAGTTACGAAATGGGTTCTTCTCAGCTGGTGGATTTGTGCACCCGGGGATCGCCTTGGAACAAAGTCAACAGGCAGGTCGTTCCAGCCTGACAGACGATGGGAACAGCGCCTCCCATCTTCCGCGCCGATCTCTTTGTAGCATGCGATGAGCTGATTGAGATGTGTTCTGACAAAAAGCCATAGTGGGTTCGGACCCAGTGTGGAGGTGGCAAAGCTCACTTGGGATCTGATGGACTTTCTTGCTAGGGAGTTCCCGGGCTGCATGCATACCCGGAGATCTGCGTCCCCAATCAAAAAGACCTCGACAGCCTAACTCCTTGCTTCCTTGACATGACGATGCCTCAAGTACTCTCAGCTCATCTGTAACGTCAATTGCTGCCGCATTCTGTAGACCGGTGTTGCCAGGGTGTCGTCGTGGTGCTCCTCGAGCGTATTCTGACACGCGCACAGCCCTGATGAGTCGACTCACAGGTTTGTGTAGAAGCGTGAGGGATGCACGGCTGGCATCGCGACCCGGACCAAGGCATCGCTTCAGCTCGGAGGCGGGAGGTGCTCCAAAACCAGGTACCATGGGACGGTTGCGCAGAGCTTTTGGCGCTTCGTCATATATCACATGCGCCTCAGCGTCCCTCCTCCCTTCCGAACCCTAAGCAGGCCCCGTGCCAGGGGCCGAGGAGCCTCTGCCGGATCCTCCAGGCATGTTTGCCACCATGGGCGCCATGGGCGCAGGAGGTGAGCTGGTAGCCTGGCGAGGGAGGAATTGCTTTGCAATTCGGGAAAATGCCACATGAATACCGCACAGTGCATCCCTAGAAGCATTTGATCATTCCAGAGCCAGACACATGGGAAGGCAATGATTTCCATAATCACCCACCCACCCCTTTTTATCCATCAACATACTGCGCAGCCCTGGGCGCCGTGTTTGTAGCAGGAGTCGGAGTGTATGGAGTATTTAAGATGGCGTTCTGGGTGGCTGGATCAACAGGGCGCAGCATAAATGCCGACGCCACGTCTGGGACACCGCAGCAAGCAGTGGTGCTTGCCCAGCCTTCCCCCTCACAACGATAGGCCAGGGGGTGCAGAGGATTTGCGTGTCCGGCAAAGCTTTTGCATGTAAATGGAACGCTGTATGGCACTCGAATGAGAGCCACCAGGGTGTTCTGTACGTTTATTCAAGTCATTGTCAGCATGAACCGAATCACTATGACGAGATTACGTAAAATGGGAATGCTCGCTGTCAGCAGCAGCAGCGTGTCCCGGCGCACCTTCCAGGCTCCTTCTAAGCCTGGCCACCACCCCGCGACGCCTCAAACCATTCTTATTCCGCCCAGATCCTGAAGTCTTGTTTTTCAGGTCCCCAACAACATTACCATGGCGAAGATTCCCGCTTTTGGCGAGCTCGGGCGCACCGCCAAGGGTGAGTGGCAGGGGGCGGGGGGTTGACAAAACCTTAGTCCGTGAGGCTGGATGCTCTTCGCACACGCTGCATGTATCCCGAAGCATCGCATGAGGGCAGGGATCGAGCCTGCAGGCCCCTCCGCCTTCCCAACCCCGCCCCTGATCCCCGGCCCCCCGTGCAGACCTCCTGTACGGGAGCCGCGACGGCGTCTTCCAGTTCGACCGTGTGGTCAGCATCTCCAGCACCACCTCTGATGGCGTGGTGCGTTTCCGTCGCGGTTTCGGGGGCAGGGAATGAGTGGGTATTTTGCCGGGACAGCCCGCTGCACCCGGGTCGGGCAGCCGTTGATTCTCCTCCTCGCCTCCTGCCCCTGGGTTGTGTCCCCGGCTGTGCACCACCGGGGTGCTGGGTGTTGCACCCCTGCATCTGTGCACCATACCCAGGGTTTGGACCTGGCCAGTGGGCAAGCAAGTGGTCCATGGACCTGACGCCGCAGGCCCCCGGCGCAGCCTGTCGACGAACCACCCCCCCCCCCTCCTTCCAATCTCCCCCCAGGACTTTGGGCTGAAGGCCCTGAGCAAGGGCGACCGCCTGGACATTGACCTGAAGAGTGTGTACGTGGCGCCCCGCTATACCCTGGTGTCCTCCATCACCCGCGACGGCAAGCTGGCAGCGGCAGTGACCTACAAGGACCTGGCCCCCGGCCTGACCCTGGGCCTGTCTGGCACCGTGCCCGAGCTGGAGACGGCCAAGGTGGCGGTGGACTACTCGCTCCCCCACCTGACCCTCAAGTCGGTGGTGTCCCTGGCCTCCTCCCCCAAGGTCGACCTGGCGGCCACCACGGGGTACGAAGGCGTGACCCTGGGCGCGTCTGGGACTTTTGACGCCTCCAAGTCCGCGCTCACACGCTGGACCGCCGGCGTCGGCTACACCGCGCCCGACTACCAGCTGACCGCGCTGCTGACCGACACCAACGCGCTGAGCGTGCTGCTGGCCCACCGCGTGGCCGCCGACACCACCATTGGCGCGGAGGTGAGCCGCGACCTGGGCTCCTCCGCCACCAGCTTCGCCATCGGCTCCTCGCGGCGCCTGGCCGGCGGTGCGCTGACTAAGGCCAAGCTGGAGAACAGCGGCATCCTGTCCCTGCTCTACGAGCAGGAGCTGCAGCCCAAGACCAAGGTCGCGCTCAGCACCCAGCTCAACGCCCTGGACCTGAATGCCCCCCCCAAGTTCGGCGTCGGCTTCGACGTCAAGTACTGAGCATGGCGGGCGCTGGAGCGGTCGTAGAGTTTCCCTCTCCGGCCGTCACGTGCCGGGACCAACCGGGGAGCACCCATCGCACAGACTGCACTGCCTGCCCTGCCCACCCCTCCCTCGGAAGGGGTTGTTTCTGTCAAACAGTCCGCAGACAAATTGCCGTGAGGCAGGGAAGGGTTGGGGGGGAACCTGGGTATAAAAGGAAGGGTGTGCCAGGCAGGGAGCCTGTCTCCTTCCCTCATCCCCACTCCCCTCTCTCTGTGCAAGGACAGCGCGCGATGAACGCCTCGATACCCTGTCGGGAGACCAGCCGGGAGGGTGGGTGGCCCGGGAATGAAGGGCGTACAGGAAGACGTTTCTGCCCCATTGAAAGGTGCTGGCAAGCACGCACCCTGACGGGAGGGAGCCGGTGCCGGAAAACCACGGGCGTGGAGCCCAGCCCTGCTGCGGGGTGCCCCCTGACGCACGCGAGGGGCTACCAGCGGCCGCACGGGTAAATCGCAATCCAGGCCTCACACTTGAAACACAATACGTGGAAGTGGGCTCGTTGTGAGCCAGCCGCACAGGCCGAGGCGAGCGAGCCCTCTGACAAAACACCGAGACGGTGCAGCACCCATACGATCGCCAGGCGCTCAAGGCATGGGTAAAGTGGAGGTGAGGTTGTAGATTGCCCACCCCATTAACCTCGTGGACGCCGAGACCGCCGCAAGGGAGGCCAAGGCGGACGTGGTGACCCCTCTTCCCTGCCCCCATGGTGGGGGGTGACTGGTCCAGCAAGCCGGCTGGCGGCCCACCCGACCCCCACGACTGGGAGGATCCAGACCTCAATGAGGATGACGATGAGGAAGAGGAGGAGGAGGAGGAGAGCGAGGTGGCCAGGTACAACAGGGCGTGGGGCTGGCGGCCGAAAGCGGAGCGTCTGCGAGAGCTCATGCGCTGCTCACTAGGAAGGCAGCTCCGACTTCTTTGCTATTGTGTGCAGGGCCAGGGATGCTGACTTCCATGCAGAGGAGGAAGAGGAGGAGGAAGAAGAGGACGAAGAAGTGGACGAGGAGGACGACGAGTTTGGTGGGTGGTCGTTGCCATGGGAAGCACCCAGTGCAAGTCGGTGAAGCCCTGTTTGCCTCTGCGCTATGATCGAGCTAGTGTCTCCAACCTTCCTGCTGCGTGTTACATTAGACTGCCTCAAATAGCCCCCTCATCCACATCCGCAGAGGCCTCTGCTTCGCCCATCGACGACGACGAGGACTTTGAGGCGGCCATCTCGGCCCGCCTCCCCACGGCGCCGCCGGCGCAGAGAAAGCGCGCCGCCCCCGCCCCCGCCCGGCGGGCACAGCGCGGCGCAGCGCAGCGCGCCCGCACGTCCTTTGTCGCCGATGACTCATCGTCCGATGATGCTGCCGATCAGGAGGAGGAGGAGGAGGAGGAGTGGGACGACGGCATGCTCCAAGGTGATTCGAGATTGACGGGTCGCAGGCAGCCTTTTGGGGCCACGAGGGAGGGGCGGGAGCTTGCAATGTATGCTCTCCCATGTGCGTCCTGTGCCAGCTGGTAGGCTGGCGCAACTGGCCCCTCCCCCTGGCCGCTTGCGTGGCGCCCCGCTCCCGCACGCACCCCCGATACACCCACCCACACCACTGTCGACAGAGGACGACGAGCGCAGGCCCCCGCCGGCGCGCCGGGCGCCCCCGCCTGCGCCCCTCCCCAGGGTCAAGCTGCGCATCGTGTCGCGCCCCCCCAGCGCCGACAGTCTGCGCGGGAGCAGCGGCGCGGCCTCCTCCGGCGACGACTCATCTGATGACTCGGCGGAGGCCGAGCAGCGCGCGGCGGCGCGCCGGCGCCGCGTCGCCCCTGTCCTGCTCAGCCCTCAGGAGCTGGCCGAGATGGGGGATGAGGTGGAGCGGGTGATCAAGCACAGGTGTGAGGGGGGGAGGGTTCTGCGCGCCCTTGCAAAGAGGCCCCTGCAGGGGAGGTCAGAGGGCATCTGAGGGGCCACCTGCTGCCAGCAATGCCGGAAGTGAAACCTGCTCTTCTCTCCTATCCTCTGCTCGCATTGTCTCCCTGTCCAGCAAGACTCATATGTCTTTCCTCCTGCCCCCCTTGACACCACCTCCTCTCCTCCCTGTTCTGAACACCCCCCAAACCCCCCCCCCCCACCAACCCTAGGGACATGGAGGGCGTCCCCACCAACCCCACCCGGCCCTGGGACTCGCGCGAGTTCTACGTCAAGTGGGCCCGGAACTCGTACCTGCACTGCTCCTGGGACACACTGGGCACGCTGAGCCAGCTGGCCGGCTTCAAGCGCGTGCTCAACTACTGCCGGCGCGTGGACGAGGCGCGCGCGCGTCGCGCCGCGCTCTCCGCCGAGGAGCGCGAGCTTTCAGACCTGCAGGCCGCGCTGCAGGAGCAGCTGGAGGAGGAGCACTCGCGCGTGGAGAGGGTGGTGGCGGAGCGCGGCGGCGGCGGGGTGGGGGGTGGCGAGGACCATGGCTACGGCAGCAGCAGCGGCCCCGCCGCCGGCCCGCACTACCTGGTGAAGTGGCGGGGCCTGCCGTACGGCGAGTGCACCTTCGAGGCCGCGCGCGACGTGCTGCGCGTCGGCGGCGGCGACGCCATCGCGGCGTGGCAGGCGCGGGAGGCGGCGCGCGCCCAGCCGCGCGTCGGCGTGGCCGCCGCGCGGCGCGAGTTCGCCGCCGCAGGCACCAAGGCCCTGGCCGAGCAGCCGGCCTTCCTGCGCGGCGGCCGCCTGCGCGACTACCAGCTGGACTCCCTCAACTGGCTGTCCTACTCCTGGGCGCGCGGCGTCAACTGCATTCTGGCCGACGAGATGGGGCTGGGCAAGACGGTGCAGTGCGCCGCGCTGATGGGCTGGCTGGCCCTTGCCCAGCGTGTCTCCGGGCCCTTCCTGGTGGTCGTCCCCCTCTCTGTGGTCCCCAACTGGGTCCGGGAGTTCGACAAGTGGGTGCCGCAGCTGGACACCGTGGTCTACGTCGGTGACGCCGCCTCGCGCCAGGTCATCCGCGAGTTCGAGTTTGGCGGCGGCGGCGGCGCGGCGCGCGGCGCCGCCGCCGCCGTGCCCGCCTTTGACGTGCTGGTCACCACCTACGAGATGGTGATCAAGGACGCCGCCATCCTGCGCCCCATCCGCTGGAACTACCTGGTGGTGGACGAGGCGCATCGCCTGAAGAATGAGGACTCGGCGCTGTACCGTGAGCTGGCCGCCTGGAGCTTCAAGTCCAAGCTCCTGGTCACGGGAACACCCCTCCAGGCAAGCCCCTCAAGGGGGAAGGGGGGTGATGCTGGGTAGGGTGGGGGTGCGATGTGCCTGTGGTACCAAGAGGGGGGAGACTGAGGAGGTGTACGCACGTCCTAGGGTGCATGGAAATGTCGTTGGGATTGAAGAAGGATGAGGCAGTAACAGGCTTTGCCGTCAAAGGGGAGCAGGCAAGGGGTGATGGTCCCAAAGGCCTGCACATGTGGCTGCATGGGGGGGGGTGAGTTTGCGTACACAGCCCACCACATTGTGTGTTTCGCCCACCCCTAGCCGTACCCCTCCCGATGACTGGCTCGAGCTGCCCACCCTTGCAAACCCAACTGCAGAACAACATCCGTGAGCTCTGGGCCCTGCTCTCTTTCCTGGAGCCGGCCAAGTTCCCCAGCGCGGAGGAGTTTATCGCCAAGTACGACACCACCGACTCCGAGCAGGTGGGTTACTGGGATTCTTGGCGGGGTCATTGGCGGTGGGCCTCATCTGTCACTTCAGAGGTACAGCATCAGCAACGTGGCATGCATTGCAGACTGTCCTGGCATGACGACACCAGCTGTCACCCTCCATTTCCACCCAATCTCTCTGCCTTTGCAGGTGGGGAAGCTGCACGCCATCCTGCGCCCGCACCTGCTGCGCCGGGTGATCAAGGACGTGGAGAGGTCGCTGCCACCCAAGACGGAGCGCATCCTGCGCGTCGGCATGACGCCGCTGCAGAAGCAGTACTACAAGTGGATCCTGTCCAGGAACTACCAGGAGCTGAACAAGGCGAGTGAAGTGTGCGGTCGGCACAGGGATTGTTGTGCCGTGCCTAAAAACTCTGGCATCTTTTGTGTATGCTGAGTCCAAAACGGCCCCCTCCACTCCCCTCGCCAAATCACAGGGCTCCAAGGCTCAGCTGACGCTGCTGAACATCATCATGGACCTGAAAAAGTGCTGCAACCACCCCTTCCTCTTTGACTCGGCCGAGGTGTGTGTTGTGTGCGGCGGGGTGAAGAGGGTCTACATGGGCCTGACTCACACGGTGTCTTTGGAAAAGGGTGGGTGCCGCTCTGCACACCTGCATCGTGATGGCTCATCCCAACTTCCTCTTTTCCTGAGGCCCCCCCCCCGCGCACTACCCCCAGTCTCTACCCCACCCCTCTTTACCACAGGAGATATACCGTCGCAAGGCCCAGTCCGACATGGACGAGGCCTCGCGCCTGGTGCTGACCTCCGGCAAGATGGTGCTGCTGGACAAGTTGCTGAAGCGACTGTATGAGTCAGGGCACCGGGTGCTGGTCTTCAGCCAGATGGTGAGGGTGCTGGACATCCTGGCCGACTACTGCCGCCTGCGCGGCTACAGCACGCAGCGCTTGGATGGGTCAACCCCAGCCCAGGCCCGGCATGCCGCCATGGAGGCCTTCAACGCCCCGGGTGGGTGCCGGGGTGGGTGGCAGTGTGTAGTTGAGGGCGCGGGGGGGTTCTGAAGTAGAATTCTATGGGGGGGCTGAAATGCCGAGCACCTGTGGAGGAACGAGGACTTCTAGGGCGCATGGACCCACTGCAGTCACAAAGGACTCGACCCCGCCTCCATACCACCGCGCAGGCTCGAAGGACTTTGCGTTCCTGCTGTCCACCCGTGCAGGGGGCCTGGGCATCAATCTGGCCACGGCCGACACCGTCATCATCTTCGACTCAGACTGGAATCCCCAGAACGACCTGCAAGCCATGAGCCGGGCCCACCGCATCGGCCAGAAGGACACGGTGAACATCTACCGCTTCGTGACCTCCGGGTCGGTGGAGGAGGACATCCTGGAGAGGGCGAAAGCCAAGATGGTGCTGGACCACCTGGTCATTCAGCGCATGGACACCTCCGGCCGCACGGTCCTGGGCGGACCCCAGGGCGGGCAGTCGGGCACCAAGCTGTTTGGAAAGGACGAAATGGCCGCCATCCTGCGCTTCGGGGCGGAGGACCTGTTCAAGGAGGACGAGGCGGCCACAGCCTCCCAGGGCCAGGCGCTGTATGAAGAGGATATCGACGCCATCCTGGCCCGGTCTGAGGTGGTGGCCAGCGCCAAGGGGGCCGAGGGCGGGCCCGGGGCGGAGCTGCTGGGCGCCTTCAACGTCGCCACCTTCCAGACCTCGGAGAGCGACGCGGAGTTCTGGAAGCGGCTCATACCGGAGTCGGAGGCCGCCGAGGCCAGCCAGGCGGCGCAGGTGGGCGCGGGGTTCATTGGGGTGATGGTGTTGATCCTGTTTGCCCGGTGGTGCAGGGTGAATGGGGCATGGGGCAGCGGTGGGAGGAGGTTCTGCGGGGAATATTGTAGCTTACGAGGCACCGACGAGCACGTGAGAATAACCCCAGAGTAGCGTCCGGGAGAAGACTAAAACTTCCTCCAGGCCAGAAGCCCCTACACCCTGACCTGCCCCCGGGTCCGACAATCAATTGCTGCCGCACGCAGGGTGAGGAGGAGCCGGGCATCCGAACAGCGCGGCTGCGGTTGCTGGAACCAGGCGGCAAGTCGCTCGCCGAGGAGGATGACAATGAGGACGGGGAGGAGGGTGAAGCCCCGGCCTGGAATCCGGGTCCGAGAAAGAAGGGCAAGGCCGCCAAGGCCGCCGCCAGCGTGGAGGGAGCGCATGCCCGGATCTCACGCTGGCCGCCGCCGGTGGACGCCGCGGGGTTTGCGCCAGACCAAGCGGCGGTGGGGCCCCCGCCCTCCGGCTGGCCCTCCGCGCTTTCTAAGAAAGACGCCACGGCCTTCCTCCGTGCCGCACGCCGCTACCTGCACCCCGGCAGGCTGGCCGAGATGGCAGGTGGGGAGGGGGGGGGATGATTTGGTTTGGTTGGGATGTGAAACCGGGTTTCTTGTTTGTGTCTTGATGCTCCCTGTCATGTGCTTTTGGGACATGGAGGGACTGATGTGTGAGCTGCTGGCTCATCGTGGTCCCAGTCTCACACCCCTTACCCTCACTCCACGCAGCTGACACGGGGGGCCTGCTGGCTGCTGCCCCTCAGGATGCGGTGCGGGCGCTCTGGTTTGGGCTGCGTAAGGGCTGTCGCGACGCAATCGAGGCAGCCGCCGCGCAGGCGGGGCCGTCGCCGTCTGGCAGCGAGCGGGCGCCGGAGGCCCACCTGGACTTTTTCGGGGTAGATGTCAAGGCCGCCGAGTTTGAGCACATGGCCGTCGGCATGTTCCTGCTGAATAGCAAGCTGGCTGGGGCGGGGGTGAGTTCCTTTGATAGTGGTTTTATAGGACGGGGGGAGGGAGGGCTTCATGCTGGGCAGTCTGAGCTCATCACTCAGGCAAGATGCTTTGGACTCTTGCGCTGGTTCACTTGACCAATCGGCGCAAGGGCGGGAGGCGACGCTCAGATGTGTGTGTGGGGGGTCCACCTGGGTGACTGGCCAGTCTGGCTGTCACCCTGCTTTACCAACCCGCCTCACACCTGCAAATTACAGGGGCGTGGCCAGCCCGGCGGCTTCCGGCTGGAGCCGGGGGAGACCGCGCCGCAGACGCAGTGGATGAAGGCGTGCGGCTGGGGCGCAGCCCAGGATGCATGCCTGCTGGTGGGCGTCCACCGACATGGCATCGGGCACTGGGACAGGTGTGTGAGCATGGAGAGTGGAGGGCTGGCGTGGCAAACGACGTGTGGTAGGACGCCTGGCGAGTGAGAATGCGCCAGGCAGCTCTTGTATATGACTGTATGGATGCACCTTTCCCTCTCAGGCAGCAGGCATAGGTTCCTGCCATTTGCCACTCACAACCCACACTCTTTATACCCCCAGGCTGATTGAGGACCCGGAGCTGGGTCTGGAGCCATGGCTGGTGAACGCCGTGGGGCCGCCCAGCGCGGAGGGGAGGGAGGCCGGCGCAGCCATGCCCAAAGGTGCTCGGCGGCGCTTTGCCAGGGTGTTGATGTTGCTGACATCGGTGTGCGCTATTGTCTCTTGGCCAAGCCACGGCCTGCGGACCCACCTTTGCCCATCGTGTCATCATCCCATGCAGCATCTTTCCTGGAGACGAGAGTGCATGCACTACTGCGCCAGCTGGAGAAGATGCACCGGCGGCCTGTCAAGGCTGCGCCGGCACGGCGGCCGGGGTCCGCATCGCCGGCGCCCAAGCGCGCCCCCGGCAGCGCACACCCTGCAGGAAAGAAGGGCGCCGGGGGCCCGTCGCCCCTAACCCTGGAGCAGGCCGAGACCTTGCTGGGCGGGGAGACCATGACGCTGGTGCGAAAGCTACGGACCTTGGAGCGCAAGGGCGCCGAAATGGCCGCCAGCCTCGTGGCGATGAAGACAAAAAAATATTTGGGCGATGTGGGCCGAAGGTGTGAGGCTCTTGTGCCTTGGTAACCTTTTGCTTATCTGAGGCAGGAGGGAAGGGTTGTTACATTTTGGTGTTTCTCCCCATCTGGGACCCATGACACAACATATTGTTGCCGTGAGAGCAGCACGTATTGATCAGCCTGCGCCCTGCCAAACCATGTGGCAGCTGCTGATGTCCCTCACATGGATTTCTCCCCTTCTTCCAGGGTGGACGAGGTCGCAGGGGCCAGCAACGACCCACACCTGAAGGCCCGCCTGTGGGCCACAGTCTCCCTGTTCTCAGAGAACAAATTCACTGGTGACAAGCTGGCCGAGGAGGCGGCGCGCCTGCAGGTGAGGCGGCAGGTGTGGGCTGTAGCTGGGGATTTGTGGGGAGGGGTTACGCAGGTTTTACTGCACTGCGCTGTTGGAAACAATCCTGTTTGGTTGTTTGTGTGTGTCTCAAATCCCCCCCTCCCCTCATCTCACATCAAACCACAGAAGCCATAGCTTCTGGTAGAACCTGCGGATATGCGCTGGGGCCAGCCACGGTGTCTTCCCATCGGAGAGCGTCATCTCGCGTCATTTCTTGAGATGGCCCACCCTTGCTACTCTGCTGCTGCCCCTCCCACTTCTCAACCCAAGTTTTGACCACCCATCACCCACCCCTTGCTGGCAGTGTTTCCATTTACATAGGACAAATTGGTACTGTACCGAGAGTTGTAATACAGGGAGTTGTGTTGTGCAAGCTGGAGAATCGTTGGCGGCAGAGGTGGGGTCGCAGCCGGGCTGCACAAGGTCACAAGAGATTTGGGGGAGCGGGATTTGGGTACCAGCCGGAGCCCCCACCGATCCCTCACTTGCGCTTGGTGTCCAGGGGCGCCCTGAACTTGACAAAGTCGATGTCGGGCATGAAGGGCTGCAGAACCTTGGGCACCCTGCAGGTATTGCGGTTGTGAAATATAATGGGTGGGCTGCTGCGGCGGAGTGTAATTGCGCCCTCAGGCTGGCATGCACAAAACCTTCGCCCCAGGTACAGCAAATCTGACGCCGCACCTGATGCCCTCTGGCGTCTGGTGGTTCTCCAGGATGCAGCACAGCGTCCGCTCCGTTGCTGTCAGGGTGGAGTTGAGCAGGTGCACGTACTCCTTTTTGGTCTCACCGGCGGGGCCCTTGGGGGTGCGCATGCGGATGTCTAGGCGCCGCGACTGCATGACTTGTGGTGGGGGGTTTATAAGACGGGCTGGCTGCTCGCCACCAGGTGCATCACCTCAGTGTGAGGACACCAGTAACACCGCCTATGCAGGGGAAAGGTCCCCATGAGCACCTCCCTTCGAGTCTTGGTAACAGAGCAACTGCCTTGGGATGTCCCTCCAAAACTATCCAGGGTTCCTTGCCTTTATCTGCCCCACTCACTCACACATCCCCTGCCCACAGCAGTCTCCATACCTGGTAGTCGAGGCAGTTGCTGCAGGAGACCAGCTCCCTGTAGGTCTGGGAGGCCGGGAACCACGCTTCCAAGTCGTACTTCTTCGCGGCGGCGTTGTTCAGCTCCCCAGACACGATGTTGACCACCCTGTTCACAGGGGGTCGGGGGTCGCAAGTGAACAGGCAGGTCATGCCATGACAGCGAGTGGGTGAGTCATGGTGCACATGAAGGGCAGTGAACAAAGCAAACCAGGCTGCTGTTGGTCCCGGCTGTAGGATTCGCCTTCCTCTGCGTCTTGCAATGCCCCCCTCTGCCCCACGCCTCCTTCCTCCTCCCACCTGCCCACCCCGCCCCCTTCCAACCAAAACCACCCCCACCTGTATGGCAGGTCCAGGCTGGCATAAAACTCCTCCGAGTTTGTGATCATCTCCTCAAAGGCGCGCCAGGAGGCGTCCTCGGCGGGGGAGGTGATGACGAACTGCTCCACCTTCTCGAACTGGTGCACCCGGAAGATGCCCAGCGTGTCGCGCCCGTGGCTGCCCGCCTCCTTCCGGAAGCAGGTGGAGTAGCCCACGTACTTGACGGGCAGCTCGCCTGGCTCGAACCAGCCCTTGCGGTGCAGGGCACACAGCGGCTGCTCCGCCGTGGCGATCAGGTACTTGTCCGCTCCCTCCCCACTCACGCGGTACAGCTCCTCGTCAAACTGGCTCAGCTGCGCGCACTCCGCCATGATGTCCTTCTGCATGAAGAAGGGCGTCTGCACGGGAACGAAGCCGCGCCGGTATGCAAACTGCGCGAGGGGGGGGGTGCGATGTGAGGGGGTGGGGTCGAGGTTGTGAGCTCCGGGCATGGGGCCGGGGGGGCCAGGCTCGGTCAGGTGGGGCGATGAGCCGAGGCACGGCTCGACGCCCCCCCCTGAACAGCACTGAATCCAACGAGGCCAAAACACGACCACGCACCTGCAGCGCGTAGTTGATCAGCGCCTGGTTCAGGAGCACGCCCTCGTTCTTCAGGTAGAACCCGCGGCTGCCTGCGATGATGGACGCGTGGGTGTGCCCGAGCTGCGACGGCTGCAGGATGGGGGCACGCGTTCAACTCCTTCCCCGGGCTTGGGGCTGGGCACCATACACCTTGCTGGTCCACCGTGAGTCCGAAAGCCCACCTGCCACCACGGTGCCTTGGTCCAGCTCGGCAATGCCCAGCCGCTGTACGAGGTCGACGTGGTTGAGCATGCCCTCCGCGGGGGCGGGTGTCCCCACCTCCTTCACCACCACATTGTTGTCCTGCGGGGTGTGTGAATGAGTGGGACGAGGTCAAGAGGGTGCGGCCGATGCGGGAGCAGGGTCCCACTCTCAGGGCATGAGGGGGCGATCGCGCACAGAAAAGTACGATGCCGGTCATCCCCGGCAGGAACGCCAAGCAGGCAGCCATCAGAACTCGAGTGTGTCGGCATGTGCTTGCGCAGTCCGATGGTTGATCCTTGAGTGATGTGAATTTCATCATCTGGCTGATTCGGCAGGGGGGGCAAGGGATCCTCTCCACCGGCCGCCTTCGCCGACCCTCCCCGCCGCCACAATTCCCAACCCCAGCCCCGCGCCCTGTGGCAGTATCATCTCTCCCCCCCGGAAGTAGTACCTCGTTGTCGGACACAGGCACGGTGTCATGCACCAGGTTGCCGATGGGAAGCAGCGCGCTGTCGCGGGCTTCCGCCAGCTCCTTCTCCCTGTCCTCCAGCTCCTTGATGCCCCCCTTCATGGCCTTGGAGGCCTCCTGCAGCTCTGTGGCGTCCTGCTTGGCCTACAGAGTTGGAATAAAGGGAGGCTAGGTGGGCGACAGCAGGGACGCACGAAACAAAGGGCAGCCCACCAGGCAGTACACGGCCCCCTGGGTGAGCGCGGGTGCCATCCATCCCGATCGGTTCACCTTGCGCAGCTCCTTGATCTCGTTCACCAGGCGGTTGAACTCCATCTTGGCGCCGTCCAGGCGGCCGCGCACTGCGAAGGAGCAGGGGCTTGGGAGGTTGGGAGCCCGAAACTCCCGCCTTCAGCTCTGCGCTCGGGTGCCTGAACACCATGCCCCTGGTGCTACACAGAGCTCTCTGCTGCAAGGTCTTGCTCACCATCCCTCCACTCGGAGTCCAGCTCCACTACGCGGTCCACCAAGGCCACGTCGGCGTACCGCCGACGCTGGGACTCCCGCACGACCTCGGGATCGCCCCCCTTCTCTGCGGGAGTGTGATGTAGCCCGATCGATCACTCGCATTCATACACAGCGGCCTCGTGTACGGCGGGCCCGGTCATTGCGGCTGGCGCACCTGGCCTGAAGATGTTGATGTCCAACATACTGAGCTACCCCAGCTTCTGCGCAGGACAATGTTATGGGGTGCCCTCTTCACTCGGTACGAGAGATGGCAGCTTGCCACTGGAATGCGCTTCTCAGTCGCCTAGTGCTCTCCATTCGCCAGCGGCGAGCAGGCGTCCTTTCCATCTCATGCCTGGAGCACATGCTGAAGGTCTGCAACTGAGCATCCTCCTCGATGGACTCTGATTAGGACCATCGAACGCGTGCATGAAATAATGAGAGCTTTAAAAGTCAATGGAAATAATCTCGGGGCGCCTCAGACATCCACGCATGCTATTTTAGCCCGTTAGCGAGGTGGTCGAGGTTTGTACTGCCCCTTCCTCATGCTCACGCGGGAGGGTGATGCGACTTTGAGAGCTCATGAGTAAGAACAAGTCGTTTGCATTCGCCAAAGCCGGTCTGCCCTTCATCGTGCTGACCGTCGGTGGCTGGGTCGGTCTCTCGAAGACCATTCAAGGCCGAATTGATGCCCAGGTAGGATGCGGGTGTATGATGCCAGGGATCATCACAGTGATGGTCTTTGTTTTGTGATGATACCACAAGATCACATCTTATCCGCAACTCTCCCCGTGAATGATGCACCCGTAGGAGGCTCAAACCAAGGAGCTGAACCTGCATGCACCGGCAGCCAAGCAGCGCTCCAAGAAGTTTGATCTCCATGAGGAGATGGACCGGCTGAGGGCCAACGTGGACATAGATCACTATGAGCTGAAGCCTGTGCCTCGTCTGCCCGATGAGGATGAATGACGGCGCGGGCTGCCGGTCATGCAGGAGGAGCTGTTGGGGGGCCACCACGCGGCACCCTGGCGATCCTTGTGCGGGGGGGTTGCAGTGCTTACAGGAGTCTCCCTGGTTTTCCTCACAGACACTTGTGCATCTGTTGCCCGCCAGATGCAGGTCTTGGCTCCGCAGACCCCGTCCAATTCCCATTCTGGAGAGGGACGAGTGTTCATTGCTTCGCATACCCCCAGCCAAGCACACAGGGTGCGTACTCCATGACACCACATCCTCCCTACACCTCGTCGGTGTCTTGCCACACATGTACATACATTCCGCTCGACTGTATCAATCCGTGGAGCACATGTCAGCACAGAGGGGTCGGCAATACAGTGCCAAAGGGATGTACACCAGGTGAGCTGTACAGGCAGGCATGCAGGTATAGCATGATGAGGAGGGACCAGGGGGAGGCCCAGCGCCCTGGCCTGCCATGCACGGGAGGCTACAGTGCGTGCATAGCAGGGAGGAATCCAATGCGGCAGAGAGGTGTGGTACATGAGGCAGGGTCATCCCCTATACATGTGTACAGTCACGATTGCACAAGCAAGGGGGTCTGTGGCGGGCAGGCGCCACCGTCAGCCCCGCTGCTTGCCCCAGCGCGCCTGGGTCTGCTGCCCGGGGCTGGTCTTGGAGCGGCCGTACTTGAGGGCCGCCACACGCGTCGTGAGATCGTGCAGCTTCTGCTTGTCAGCATACCTCAGGCCAAGCGCGATCAGGTGCTCGTGTTCCTGGGCACAGGGGCAAGCCAGTGGCTTGAATGAGCCCAGGGGAATGGCTGTGGCTGCTATCTGGGCTTGCTCCGCTGGTGTCCCCCTCCACAAACCCAGCGCACGTCCCTTTTCCACCTTGGTCTTCATGCCAGCCAATCCCACATCCACCCACCTGCTCCTCGATCTGCGCCATCATGTTCACCCAAGCCTCGACCGACTCCAGTTCCTCCAATTCATCGGGCGAGACAGCGACCTGCACCGGGAGAGAAGCTGACTGTGAAGCGCCTCGGATCGCACAGCCAGGTGAGCAGTGGGACAGAGATGGCCGTTCGCGAGGATACTAGAGCACAGGAGCTGAGTGATGAGCGCCATCGAATCCTGCTGGGGTCTCAAACAACGCGGCACACGGGTCCGTGGTGAGGTCGGGGTTCCGGAGGGTCCTCTTCGGTCACCTTCCGAGTTACCCCTCAACCCATGCACTGTCATACAGGGTCCGCTGTGGGATGACGGGCGATGGCGCCATCTCACCTCAGAGGGGTTGTTGAGGTCAAAGGGATCATCGGGTAGGGCAGGAATGGTGACAGGTGCCGAGGCAGGTCGGAACTCTGGTGCAGCTGCGTTGAGGCCTGAGCCCATCCTGAGGGACTATGGTTCGGATACTTGGCGTTGTCTTTAGTGCTCCGAGGTGTCTCCGCTTGCGGTGCTGGCGCTGCCCGGCTCGAGTCCCATACTTGTAAGGGTCCGCGACAGTCTCAGAGAGCACTAGAAAGTTCGAATACGGAACCCTTTCGGACGATCCCAGGATAGGTGCGCTGTCGTTTTCCTTCTGAGGGGTCGCCATAGACAGAGGCAGGGGCAGGACGTATCGCTGGGCTACTTCCCCGGCCCTCAATGCTGTCGTGGAACATTGCTCAGGCGTCCTGCCTTGTTGTGAGCTTGTAATAACAGCAAGTGCACAGCGTCAGCATAGTAAGCCCCTTTTGCCTTGCAGACTCGACCCCCACCATGAGCACTGTTAATAAGTTACAAGACCAGTCCTGTTCAGGCAAGTGCACCATGGGGTGCACAGAAGGATTTCCAACGACACTGTTCAGGTTGCATGCAAGTCATGGGGGGAATCCCTGCAACGGGCAGCCCACCAGTCCAGTAGGGCAGATGGCGGGTGCAGAAGGGGTGGGAAGCACGACTGTCTCCTCAAGCACAGGGATATGTTCATAGGAAGGGGGGGTCCTGCTACAAAGTGGGCGCCGAGCGCAAAGGGCTGTCAGCCGAGTATCTGTTCTGCGAGAGCAAGCCCCGGGACAGGGCTGCCTCCACTGCCTCACGAAAACCAGGGAGGGGTGGGCAGGGCGGATAAGCATTCAAATGGGGAAAAGGGAGGAGGGCTGGGCCGATAGCGGGCTCACGCGTCAGGGTAGATCGGGCTCGACACGATACTCGCCCGCGCAGGTGGCCAGTTGTTGCGCGCCGACAGCAGCCGAGCCAGGCCCCACGGACGGTGTTCAGGCAAAAGCCAGAGAAGGGGGAACAGGGGGGGTTACGAGGATTACCTAAGGAAAGTGTACAGGGTTCCAAGCTAGCACTTGTGCGCAACCTGGGAGTGGAGGGCAGAAGAGGTGTGCATCGGTATGAGAGCCATCCTTGGTCCATGGAAACTGGCCGACATCTTTGCCGCACAATCGCCCCATCAGCGGGTGTGCCACTCGCTCATACTGAGGCGCCACACACAGGCCACAGGCCTGCCACAGAGACTCTGGATCAAATCATCGCCGCACACACCTTTGTGGCTGCAGGGTCTACTCTGCCCTACTGCGAGGCCCGGGCCAGCGCCACGGCTGCCTCCCAGCCGGCGGAGCTGCCGCCGTTGGCGGCCAGCAGGCCCAGCACCCGCTGCAGCGCTTCAGCAGGGAGCATGCCGTGCAGTCCGGGAGCCTCCGGCGCCAGGGGCGAGGGCCCGGGCGCCACTTGCTCCCGTGCGGCGTGGGACGCCGAGGACGAGTCGGAGCAGGTGGGCGACCGCGCATACACTTCCTCCGCCTGCTTCCCGCTGGGGATCCAGCGCTGCTGCCGCCCATCCCAGGCCAGGCTGAGCAGGGGGGAGCTGCGGGAGCCGGTCAGCGCGCGCAGCGCGGAGGACTGGGCGGCGGCCGGGGCGACGGGGAGGGCACGACGCCAGGCGGCCTGGCGTGCATGGGCATCCGCACCGTGCGGCTCGCGGGCGTTGCGGGCGTT